GAAGTATATTACATGGTTCATCATTCTTGGGACTCTTCTAGTTAACTTTATTACTGTATTACCGGTCACTCCAATATCAGGTTCATTACTACGCATTGGTTCTTTGTCTGTTCCACTATATATTATGAAATCATAGCAATATCCTGCCAAGGAACACAACGCAAAAAGCTTGAACCCCCACTTGTGGGGTTTATTGGGTAAATATTGTTTCAAGAAATGGCTGATTTTTGTTGCGCACATTTGTTCGTCAACTGAAAGGCGTTGTTCCATTGGAACACTAGAAAATTTCATTGTCAGATGATCTATAATGGGTCTTAGTTTGTGAAGTTTATCATGGTCGGGGCTACCAACTGGTTTGTGTAAATTATTATCATTGAAATGTAATATGCTTCTTACTTTTTCAAATTTGTTGACAGGCATTGCTTCTATTATTGGTCTAAATCCAAATTTACTGCTCCAATACGATCTAACGCTTGGGTAGCGATAGACAGACATGAATATCAATATTCCCAAATATTTTCGAAGTTCTGTAAGGCTTATTTGAACGGGGCGATCAATATTGGTCTGCGTCGAATATTTATTGGTTTCTTCAACAATTTTTTTCAACAAGTCTTCTGAAAAGTACTGTGAAAAGAACTGCAGTGGGGTTTCTAGTTTCATTAGTTCAGGTCCTAATTCTGTACTACCCAAGAAAGCAATTGATTCCTCTTTATACTCCAAAGAGCGTTTTTTCCAAATCAAATTTCGTGTATTTATTTGCGGAAATACATTAGACCGAGAAGTCGAAGCTTGTTGATAGATTTCTTCATGAACCAGGGGAGGATCCGGGCATTCTTCAGTTTCAGGCACTTCCTCTTCATCACTTACTTCTTTATCTTCGAGTACGGCTTGTAGATCTTTGCGAGACGGATAGAAATCCAAGTCATCCTCATCTGATTCGGCATCGTCTTCTGAAATTTCGCCAGCCTCTAACCGCATTAGCATATTTTCTATATCATCGTCTTTCAATTTCTTTCTTGTAGTTCTGCAACAAATTTGTAAAGTTCAAAGAAGCGTAAATAAAAACAAAAACGCGAAAATCATCAACATGCATAGAAATATTTTTTATGCCTAAGTGCATGGTGTCTCATTTTCGATACAAACTAAAAACTCTTTTGTTTATGAGAGAAATCAATTTTTCGTAAAAAATACATAAACCTACTATAAACACAAACACTTACCTTGACATTGTATATTTTTTTTTGATATAATTTGTCTCAAATCCACTCCGATTCGTCTGGATAAAGTTAGAATTTTTCACAAAAACATTCACTCGCTGACAAGAATACTTTTGACAGCTACGAAACAAATATGGTGGACCAATACGAGAAACTTTGTTTTTTTTTCCGATAGACAAATAGTCTAAGGGCATCGTAACATACAGCCTAATAAAAACAAACAATTGGCTTTAAGTTTTAGTTAAAAAATCTCAACGTATCGTTTTTGATACATTATGCATTTAAGGGTTAAAGATTTAATTATAATGTATGTTAAAGTAAAGTTACAGACTGACGTGACGATTTCTGACGTGGTTATGGAGCAATTAGTTTGCTGTACTGCTCTAAAGTTTTTCTGTTATTTAAAATTGTAAAGTTAGTATTTTATTTATTACAGATAGCTTTTTATATAATATAAAATAAGAGTGACAGACAAGCACTGCTTATCTGATGGTAAGTTGATGTTATGGCCCATAGATACCGATGTATATATATGTCCTTGATTAAGAATCAAAGTTAGAATGAGTTGAGACCCTTATATAATCATCTTAGTCCTCAAGGACTAAGATGATATATAAGGTGAAGATGTGAAGATGTGCCAGTGACTTGGTTTGGCAAAATATATTGACTACACCAAAACAGATGTGGTGGATCTAGGGTATTAGTGTCAATCACAGATTTTTGTCATCTTATTTAACCTCAGGTTTAATCAATATTTCATAGACTAGACTCGCCCTGACTTCACCCAGGTAAGATCGTAATTTGGCGTTATTTAAGATAATCAGACTATAATTTTATCAATTTTTCATTTTAAAAAAAGCGGCCAAGTGCGAGTCGGACTCGCCCATGAAGGGGTCCATAGCAGCAAGTAACATAATATAAAAGTTCTTGTAGTTCGTTGTAACTTTGATCGATGTTTTAATAATAGTGTATTTTTTATATTTGAGTCGATTGAATGAAAGGTAAATTGCGGTTTACTATTTATGACGTATTAAAAAAACTACTTACTAGATCTCGTTGAAACTAATTTTCGGTGGAAGTTTACATGGTAATGTACATCATATATTTTTTAGTTTTATCATTCTCTTATTTTAGAAGTTATAGGGGGGGGGGGACACATTTTACCGCTTTGGAAGTGTCTTTCGCGCATTCAGTTTAGAAAAAAATTATATTAGAAACCTCAATATCATTTTTAAAGACCTATCCATAGATACCCCACACGTATGGTTTTGATGAAAAAAAAATTTTGAGTTTCAGATCTAAGTATGGGGAACCCCCAAAATTTTTTTTTCTATTTTTGTGTGAAAATCTTAATGCGGTTCACAGAATACATCTACTTACCAAGTTTTATAGTTCTTATAGTTTCGGAAAAAAATGGCTGTGACATACGGACGGGCAGACACAGACATGACGAATCCATAAGGGTTCCGTTTTTGCCATTTGGCTACGGAACCCTAAAATCTCCAAGTTTTCGGATACAATATATATCAATATTTAGCCATTTAGGATATTAACCCAGGTAGACAGGCAAGTTATTTTTAATATGGGTATACGTCTTAATAGCAAGTAAATAACTGTTATTTCGATATAACAGACAGACACATTTTATTTATATGTATAGATAAGACCATTTTTACGATTTTTTTTTAATTTGATGCTGTTTACGGTTATCAAATCCAAAACATCAAGAATAACAACAATTAGTGTCCTCCCAGAAGTCAGTGTCGCTATAGTCCAATAAATCTGCCGGATAGCTATTCGTGAGATAAATCACAATTGAAAAATAGACAACCAATTCGAAAGATAATCAGCCAAATAATTTTATTTGTTAGTTACTAGATATTTTATTGGAGGATTAAAAAGTTGTCACTAAGTAATTTTTTCTTAATTTTAGGAGACCACAACATAATGATGTCAAGATGCAATTAAAAGCGGCTGATATGGTTAACTTACAAAAACAAAAGGCATTGCTGGAATCTTTAGCCAAAGAATATGAAGCGAGAGTAAACAGATTGAAAAAAATTATAACAGCCAAAAGAGGGTATATGAAAGCACTAGAAATGGATATACATAAGTATCAAAAGAAAAGTAATGATTTTATTTCTAGGATTGGGGAGAAAATTGAAAATCACAAAAATCTTGTAGAAACAATAATATCTGTGAAAACCAACTTTGAAGACACTAATTGGTCTATAAGTGATCTTATGCAGGATGAATAAATAAATGACATCCTTAGATATTGAGTAAATTTATATTTCAGAAAATTGTACACGTCTGAGAAAAGTACAACAAAATTTTATATCTAAGTTAACTCAATTTCTTTTCAAACTATTTTTACAAGTGTAGATGAAAATAGAGGAGAATAACTTTAAGTGTAATTATTAAGTGAAATCACAAAAATCTTATTTTGCAGCACATAGTCACTAGAAATAGAATATATTCAAAGTAGTGGAAATGAGAAAAGTATGAACTATATTAATATGAAAGCAAAATGGAAAGTAGCAATAACTAAAGTTGAACTTTTAGTAATGAGTGATCTTAATGATTTAAGATTTAATTACTCAATTTGAATGAGTTAAATTTTGTGGTTATCCTTTATAAACAGCAAGAAATATTTTTATACAATAAAAAGAAGACGAAAATAAACTTCTGACTTTATATAGTAATATTTATTGAATATTATTAGATATTTTAATATAGCTAAAAAATAAAATTGTACAATGCAAAACCTGCATATAATTTAAATATTATCATAATAATATAGCAATTGCACTATTGTTGCGAGGACTACACTGCTGCTACCGCCATTTAAAATTGTATTGATTGCATCATTTTGAGACTTACTACATATTGAAGATATAGCCTCAATTGGGCGATCTTACCAATCTACCAAAATTTTACCAATCATATACTTATTCCATATTATCCATAAAAATTAATACTGAGTGCAAATTAACATTAATTTCACTGGGAACATTCAAATATTTCCCTCTAAATCATACGTAGTGATTTGCAATGAAGTCCTAACACTGAAAAAAAAACATCAAATAGCTACATCTGATGAAGGTTAATATCATGTCTTAGGCCAGCTTCACAAAAGGATCAATAATTTTGAAATACATAAAATATATCAATACTAAAACAATATGTGTGACTAAGTTTTTGAAAATAAATTCTTAACTAGAATTTTAAATTGAACCAATCATCGTCACTTATACCGAGACCTATATTATATACTTTACATTTTTGTAGGCACATTAGTTACAGAAGATAAGCAAGTGCTTTCGATCCTCTACAACTTAAAAATAGATAATAATATTATGTAAATGTTATGACGCCATGTCCAATGGCCGCATCTTTCAGATTACATGCCACTTCAACATCAACAAAACAATTTCATTAACACATTAACTCAACAGGGTAGAATCTGTTTCAAGCTGCATAATATCAGGGGATCGAAAAAGCTGTAGTCTGAAATCATTACCGAATAAAAGACCTCTCGACATAGTAGTAAAACCTCAGTTAACTAAACACATAAATTAATATCACTCGTATTTATAATAAAAATTAAAAATAAGAAGGCACAAGCAAATTGATAAATAATTTTAACATTATAATAACATTTTATTCGGCTCTGTTCTAGACTACTTTTTAAACATAGTTATTATAATACTTGATATATATTATAAATTATTATTTGTAGCATTCTTCTCACTGTGCAGCACACTGGATCCCAAACGTCAGTTATTTCTTCTTGGGAGGTGACCTTTGAGGTGTAGCTGGTCTTCCACTGTTAATGCCGTTATACTGATACTTTGCTTTCTTCTCAGAAGGCTTTAATATCTACAAAAGTTTATGATTATTCATTACCTATTATTGACAAACACATTGCAACCTGTGCTATAATGTAAGATACACTGCAATGTGTATACTGTTGGTGCACCTTTTCGAATAAATAATTTAACTGAACATGATATTTTAAAATATTTATTAATAGCTGGTACCCGGCGCGTTGCTGCCTCAAAAGAAATAATTCTGCAAATATCGTTTTAAATTTAGAAGAGTTATATTGTTTATTTAGGAATGAAAATACATTCATTGAAATTTAATGATACATAACTATCAAAGTACGATACGCGCGTCACCTACTGTAAATTAATTGTAATATATAGATAGTAATTGGTGCATTACCTGGAAAGAGCACATAAGTGTCTCATCAACAGACATCATGCCTCCAGCATTGTCAAATTCTCCACAGTAATTGGGTGCAGAAAAAAGAGTAACAAGTTGCCTCTTTGCAAAAAATTCATAACCATCTTCAACCACCTAAAAGTGAAAATGTGTACAAATTACTTGTGTATTAATAATTGTGTATAAATGAAAATGTATGGTAGAAAGCGAACACATTGGCGGGCGGACGTTATTTTAGGTTTCTGTTGAATTCGTTTTAAAAACGTAACCTTGAGTTTGCCTTTGCCTAAGCGATAAACTTTGATGGTTTGAATCTCTCTCCAGTCATGTCTGTTTACTATCCCATCGAACTATGTGAGTGAGGGAACAAAGCGTGCACCTGTGCTTGCGGATACGCTCGGGCACTACAACCTGTCCAACGCAGATGGCTAGTCTCAGTTGTGTCTAGCCGCCGTGACCTACAGTAGGTCTGGAGGACCTAGATATGGGGTTAGTCAATGCTCTTACGCAAGCACTACATTATATAGGATAAGGGTGACAAACGAGCACACAGTCCACCTGATGGTAAGTGGTTGCTGTGGCCCATAGACAAAAAGGGTCTCCGGCTCTCTACACTCACCATACGAAACAGCAACATTTAGCTGATATTTTATGCAGGTATTCTGTGATATACCAGTAATATAGCTCTACCACGTAGAGCTATATCACGGTGTTTATCATTTATTTTGGTTTCATTATTTATCGTGTTTATTTACAATAATAGTCTCTTGAAAATGATTAATATGATTTTTATTATTTCCTCACTTGTAATATTAAAGCTTTTAGACTTGCGTTATTTTAGGCCCAGCATAGTTTGTATAAACAGTTTTTAGATTTAAAGGATGCCAAAGAGTTAAGTACACCTATATTTATTAAACTAAATATAATCATAATACATTAAAGCTGAAAAATATAATAAATGTTATGGTCTATTTTAAGGCCACACGAACATGTTTTGCTGATAACTTGGATAAGTCTATTTTCTGTGTCTCATCGTTGTATTTTATGATCATTAAATATTATTTATACAATACTACCTATGAAATTGCCGTTCTGTAGTATTGGCCATTTCAAATCAAAATAATCTTTGTTTGGCTAAGAATTCTAATTTCAAATTAATTTAATTTTAAAAAAAATTATTCATTTGATTATTGAGAAGTGTTATGTTATCATTGCATTTGAATCTTTTTCCTCATCATGGATCGGTACGTTAAAAATTCGAGTAATTATGGAATGTCGTGGCAGCAACGCGGCATAAGCGGCACGCAAAATCGATGTTTACGGAGCGAATACTACAAACGAACGCACCACCTGTTATTGGTGACCTGAAAAACGAACCCCATGGTCGTCTGACAAATTTGGTCGACAATGACGAATTAAAGGCGATTGTGGAAGCTGATGATACTCAATCTACGGCTGAATTAGCAGCAGCTTTCGACGTTAAAGCATCAAAACATTATTGGTCAATTTGCGTCAAATTGACAAGGTAAAAAAAGCTTGACAAATGAGTGCCCCACGAACTCAATGATCGCCAGCGCGAAGTACGCGTCGAGACGTGCCTTACATTGCTCAACAGGTACAAACGAAGAAATTTTGAACCGCATTGTTACCTGGGACGAAAAATGGATTCTGTTTGACAATCGCAAGTGCTCAGCAAGTAGGTTGGATCATGGTTCAGCACATTAACAATACCCTAAACGAAAACTTACCCCTAGAAAAGTGATAGTCACTGTTTGATAGTCTAATGCCGGTGTGACTCATTACAGCTTCTTACCAAACGGAAAGAGCATTACTCCAGATGTGTACTGTGAAGAATGGAACACAATGATGGAGAAGCTCGCACGTCTCCAAACAGCTTTGGTCAATCGCTAGTCCCCGATGCTCCTGCACAACAACGCGCGACCTCATACTGCACAACAGACGGTCTCCAAGTTACAAGAGTTGGGTTTGGAAGCTCTCAGTCATCCGCCGTACTCACCAGACTTTTACTTTTTCCATGATCTGGATAAGTTTTTGGCGGGAAAAAGGTTAATACCCGAGAGGCAGTAATAAATGCCTTTGAAGAATTAGTTGCCTCCCGTCCAGCTGATTCCAAGAAGGGCATCAATAAACTGCCACTGCGTTGGCAAAGATGCGTCAATTGCATGGGTGATTACTTTAATTAATAGAAATAAAAAAAAATATAGAAAAAAATTACCTTAACTTATTTCATAACTAACGACAATTTCATAGGTAAAGACCTAATATTTGATATTTTCTGATAAACAACCTAATATTAATATGTAGTGATAATAGAATAGATGGCAGGTGAAACAGAGATAAAAACTAAAGTGTGAAAATGGCAAAAAATCTCTAAAGTGCACTTAAAGGTTTTTTCATTGTTCATTTTCTGCCTGTCCTAGAAACGGTCGAGCAAGAGTGCTCAAATATACATTTATACATACATACCTGATGAGCTCTACAAATTAAATCCAAATCATGTCTGTTGAGAAACTTGCTAACAACATCTGGACCAAATGTAAATGATACACCGCGATCATTCTCACCCCATCCCTGCACATCTTTATCTGGATCAGACCACAACAGATCGCAAAGCAAACCTGTTGGAAAAACATATTTTATTGTAATGTGTAAATATATCTTAATATATAAAATTCTCGTGTCGCTGTGTTTGTTACCAAACTCTACAAATGGCTGAACCGATTTGTATGAAATTTTGTGTACATATAGGGTAGGTCTGAGAATCAGCCAGCAGCTATTTTTCAAACCCCTAAATGATAAGGGTGGTCCAACCCTCAATATTTTTTTAATTTTTTTAACCAATTTTTTTATTTTTATTTTATTATGATTTAGCATTGAAAAATACATAAAACTTCTAATTTTCACCTTTCTACGATCAACCCCTATTTTTTAAAACGCGATTTTTAAAATTAAAAATATTTCCTAGAAAATAATGTATATGGCAAAACAACGTTTGCCGGTTCAGCTAGTTTAGATATGATGCATGCTATTTAGAGTCATATATCATATTATATCATACATCCATATCTTACGAGTTCGCCATTGGTACTTCATCTGTAGATTAATTAATGCATTGTCCTACACCATAGTTAGCTCCGTAATAAACTAATGATGTTTTCCTGAATATTTACCAGCCATGCTAGAGATTCATAAATTAATTTCTTGTTTTTTGGGCTGGAGAATTAGGATATATGTATATCATAGCCTATTTCTTTTATTAGCTTGTAAAAGTTCGCTGCTGGTCAAGGTTATACCACTATTTATTAGATTATTCTTATTATCTTATTATATTAGATTTTTCTGGCATTTCTCATAATAAGACCGACGCTCACCTACGATATGGTGTATGTTCCTACACCGCTACCACATAGCATATCTGTTTCACTATTCAATAATTTATGTATTTTGACACATCAACATACATCACTTAGTAGTCACAGCGTGTTGACAAAATCTCTTTAAATCAGACTCTTTCAAAATTAAGACCCTAGGAACTATCGATTTTGTCTATTATGTGCTTCGATATGGCTTGCTAAACCAAACTGACAATAGAGTTGGCCAGACGAGTTATAAGTGTATGCATAAGAGGGCTTAAGTCTCTATTTGCGCAATTGGCGTGCTAACTCTTTAAGTTTTGAGGCGGCTTTCCGCAAATGATTTAATTATTCTAAAGATGGTGAATCGCCAAGATAACCTTTTATACTGCAAGCATTTAGGTGTCTTTTGAAAATGTCCCTTTAGCGCAGATGCTGGCCACCGTGCTTTCGCTTAATTTTGCTATCTCTGCGTAAAAGATAGCTTTAGGTAAACGGCGGTCTTACATACGAAGGACGTGCCCCCCTCCCCCCTTCCTCCTCGCACCATCTGAGCTGACGTTGCATTAAGGGAACTTCTATGCTGTTAACGTTCCAGAAAGACGTAGAATATTCACGGTCTAGCCACTTGATCTTTAGGACAAATCTTAGACATCTTAGGCGGTAAGTGACAAGTTTTTTAATATCTGATTTGTAAATCTGTGCTTTTATATGGCGCGCCATATAAAAGCACAGGAATAGCAATTTCGACAAGTATTTACAAAAAACTATTTACGTAAACAGCGTTAAAAATACTTTGACATTTGACAAGATTCAAAGCCTAGAACGCGCTAACCCCGACTGCGTTCCGTCCCAGGGGCACCTCACGATTATAGGTAATTATTTCACACAGTTAGCAAGAGTGACAGAGGCTTGTCTAGGGCGTTAAGTTACGTCCGAGTCCACATGTGTATGCCAAATGTGGTATGAGACATGAGAATGGGCATGACCTAACAGTTATATGCGCCTATCTTTTTTTTTTAATAGGACGTACGAGTAAGTATAATATTGTTATAAGAAGAATTCAAAAAATTAGCTTTTAAAACTAGATAAAAATAGAGACAGATTTTTATACATTATAAAACTGTAGTACATTAAAGATATTTTTTTTTATAGAATAGGGGGCAAACGTGCATGCGGCTCACCTGATGGTAAGTGACTACCGCCGCCTATGAACAACCGCAACACCAGGGAGGGAATCGCAGATGCGTCGCCGGCCTTTTAAAAAGGAGTAGGCTCTTTTCTTGAAGGTCCCTAAGTCGTATCGGTCCGGAAATATCGCTGATGGTAATTGATTCCACAAGGAAGTCGTGCGAGGAAGAAAACATCTTCTAATGGCACAGTGGTGGACCGCCAATCATCCAGATGGTGTGGATGGTATCGGGAGTTCTGCCGCGATATGCGTTCGTGAAATTTGGCGGCTGGGATTAATCCGAACAATTCCTCTGAGCACTCCCCGTGGTAAAAGCGAAAGAAAATGCAAAGGGATGCAACATCTCTTCGCAGTGCCAATGAATCGAGCCGATCGGAAAGGACTCGGTCATCGACGATTCGAGCGGCTCTGCGCTGGATGCGGTCAAGTGGAAGGAACTGGCACTGGGGAGCCCCTGACCAGAGATTGGAACAAGCTTTTTAGAGGCCAATTTGGCCTTCTCTTCAAAGTGACCACGAAACTGCACGTCACTCGATATGTCGACTCCGAGGATTCCAATACTGGCTGAGGCAAGAAAGGGAGTGCCTTGAAACTGAGGAGATACGACAAAGGGGTTCTTTTTAGAGGTAAACGCGCAAACTTGTGTCTTCTGAGGATTAAACTGGACTAAATTTAGTCGCCCCCAATCCGAGACTTTGTTCAGCAAAAACTCGACTTCAGACACAAGTTTGTTCCGGTACTCAGCGACGTTTTCCCGATAAATATTGGCACGGCCGGTGTATAGAGCATCACCAGTGATTGTTTGATGAATGTTTCCAGTTAGCAACATATCATTGATATGCAGAAGAAACAGCGTTGGTGATAGCACACAGCCTTGTGGAACACCAGCGTTAATAGACTTGTAGTCGAAGCATGCACCGTCTACAACGACCTTGATGCTCCGATCTGCAAGGAAGCTGGTGATCCAATTGCACAATTTCTCGTGAAGCCCATAGGAAGGGAGCTTCGAAAGAAGCGCCAAACCCGATCGAAGGCCTTCGCAATGTCCAAACTAACGGCTAACGCCTCCCCCTTGGACTCTACTGCCTCCGCCCATCTATGGGTCAGGTAGACCAGAAGATCACCAGCTGATCGACCCCGACGAAAACCGTATTGGCGGTCACTAATCAGCTGGTGATCTTCAAGGTACCGCATGAGCTGGCAGTTAATAATGGATTCCATTATTTTGGAGAACAAGGAGGTGAAGGCGATAGGCCTATAGTTGGACGGGTCTGAGCGGTCGCCTTTTTAGGGATCGGGTGAACAAAAGCTGTCTTCCATGAATACGAGACTACGCTTTGGGAGTAGGAGTACCGGAAAAGACGCGTTAGGACCGGTGCCAACTCCGGAGCACACGTCCTCAGCACAATTGGGGGGATTCCGTCAGGCCCACTCGACTTCTGGATGTCCAGGGAGAGGAGTGCTTTGTGAACCGAGCGCTGTGAGAACAGCACATCCGGCATGGAGCACTCACACCGCGGGATGGTCGGCGGTGTTTTCCCCCCGTCATCAAGAGTCGAGTTGGACGCAAAAAGGGAGCCTAAAAGGTCAGCTTTGTCTTTTGCGGCTTGGGCCAGTGAGTCGTTCTCCCTGTGCAGAGATGGTAGTGATGGCTTACAGAAATTCCCTTGGACAGCCTTGGCGAGAGACCAGAATGCACGGGTTCCCGAAGGAAGGCAAACTAGTTTCTCGCCAATTCTGCCTATGTGCTCTGACTTTGCCTTGGTAATAACTCTTTGAAGGACCTGGAGGCGAAGTTATACTTCTTTCTAAGTGTGCTGTTGTTTACATCCCGAGTCGCCGAAGCCGCAGCTCAGGCTTGATAACACTCCTCCTTATTGCGTAATGCAGTCTTACAGGAGCGACCAAACCAAGGCTGAGATCTGCCTCCGATGGGTACCACAGATGATGGAATAAATAGTTCCATTCCCTGTAGCACCAGATCAGTGACAGAGTCAGCAACAGCGCTGGGATCATCCGCCGACAAGCAAACTCGCCCCCATGGGTAGGATGCAAAGAAAGACCGCATTCCGTCCCAATCCGCCGACCTGTAATGCTAAACACGGCGGCAACCTGCAGAACGCAACCGCGAGGGGCATCGACGGAAACCTGATATCCGTCCGGATGAGAGGTCAGCAGAAGGTCCAACAGTGAAGGTGTATGATCATCCACATCTGGAATCCGCGTAGGCAAAGTAATCAGTTGTGTCAGACCATATGCCAAGGCAAAGTCATAAACAGATCTCCCCGCATGATCGGTTAAACATGAACCGAGCCATTCAGCGTGGTGGACGTTAAAATCGCCAAGGATCACGATCTCTGCGGATGGGACCTGTTGTAGCAAGGAATCTGTAGCCATTTGGACGTGGTCGATGAGTCGGTCTGTTTCGGCATTACCGCTATGGGACCTATAGAGGCACCCTTAGACGCTCGGATGGTCGTCGCTGTCTACGCGTAGCCAAAGGATGGACAGGTCCGAGTCTCTGATATACACGCAAACTCCAGTCCGAGGCACAAAGGAGTGCTCCAATTTGTACCCCGGGCAGGAGAGAATCGAAGTATCAGCCGGAGAGGACACCTGCGTCTTGGTCAGAAAGAGCAAGGCCGGCTTCGCCGTCTCGAGATGTTAGTGGACGGCGTTTAGGTTCGAGTGAAGTCCCCTGATGTTGCAGAAATTCACGGATAGCGTGGCAGGGATCGCCTTGGTATTGTTGCTTAGTTTGCCCCGAGCAGTTATGTTTTTGAGCGGAATTTTGCCTCCCCAGAATACGCGGGGCAGCCTGAGCACCCACGCTCAGGAGTGGAATAGCATGGTCGTGGATTCTCAGCGAGGGATTCTCCAGGGGTGCAGGCACCCTCCTGGGGTAGTCTTTCGTGTAATTCCGCTACCATGTTGATGGGGGGGGGGGGGGATTGGGCCTCCGGCCACCTGCACTCACCAGTCGAAATGCAGAAGCAGAGCTTCTACCTCACGCCGGTATTCTGTGAGGTCGTGGTAACAACCCGGCTCGAGCCGGCCCATACGTGCAACAGCAAAAACTGCCGCGTGGCTCTACCACCGTTCTCTTATTCACGCCTGAACATTGAATTGAATTGAATAATTTATTATTATATTTTTATTCATAATTTCTTTTCTTTTATCTTTATTTTGTAAGTCTAGAAACAATAATGCTATATTATTATACTTATCATCTGGCATCATCATAAATATTCTCCTTTATCAGCATTTTATCCACTGCTGAATATAGGCCTTAACAAAAATTCATTACATGGCTTGCATAACCAAGAATTGCCCAAATCCTTTACATATTAAATAGACGGATTGATGGGTTCAGAACCTGTCTATGTGAAGTAGTAAGTGTAGAAATGAAGTCATTAAGTTAAGGGTGACTCTGAATGATAGGTCGAAAAACTGTGATCAGAAAAGTGTGGTTTGCTAGATGATATGAGCAGAATTAAGATAGGAATGCTTTGATGATTTGGACACATAGAATGAGAAAGAGTGACAAAGCAAACTTACGCTGCAGAAGTGAATGACAGAAACGACAAGGGTCGCCCTAGGCAGAAGTTTATCGACTAAATTGTCGATAAATTGAAGATGGGTCAAATTTAGAATCTTTAACCGACGAACATGTATTAATCGATATATGGATGTGACAGAAGCGAAAACGGTGTCAGGATCGTGGAAAACAGAAACCCACAGTCTCTGCCTACCCCTCAGGGTGACGGATATGATAATTTATGTTTTGTTTGATTGGAGGAATGAAAACTAACAATGAATCAAACAAGTGTGTAGCTGTCAATTTCATTTGATAAGATTCCTCCAGATTGTTGTTGAAGTTCAATCTGTCACCAAATTATTAATTATTTTAATCATTTGGTGATAAATAATTTTTAATTTCTAATTTTCCATCCATGCAATTGTTGAGCCTACAGAACTGAAACCTAAAGAAAAGTTTATGTAACTAATTTACCTGTATCAGGAACATCTGTAGGTCGCATTATCCGTCTGATTTGTTCCATGCCCTGCAAGTCTGGGGAGAGACCACCATGGCAGCAGAAAATTTTCTCATCAATGATAGCAGCTATCGGTAGGCAGTTGAAACAATCAGTAAATGTCTTCCAGAGTTTTATATTATATCGGCGTTTGCATTCATCATAGAAACCTGCAAGTAAAAAAAAAAAGTTAATTATTATTTTCAAATGAGTATAATTTTCACGTGGTGGATCGTGTGCTGATCATAGCATGAGAAAAATAATAATAAAATCTTGTCAGGTTGTTTATTTATTTATTAAGCCAAATTTAACAAATAACTTTATGTACAGGCTCTTATGACCTAATGCACTAGTGTAAACATTTTACTATAGTATGTGTAGACTCGTATGTAAAATATAACGCATTTTCCGAGAAGCTGTAAAATATGTGTAAATATGTGTATGTGTAAATGATTCGCACCAGAATAACTCAATCGCACAGTAGCTCCTTAAACCAAGTTTTACAAACTGTAAGTAGCAATATACTCTGAAATATTTTAAAAATTAATATCCTCCAGACCGAATTTCAGTTCGGAGGCCAATCTCAACGGAGACCAGCCATTGGCGTAGGATAAGATTATAGTGCCAGAGTGTATGCGCAAATTATAATTATTGTAACATAATAACCGATTCGTTACGGCACCGATTTTCGACAACTTTTAGCCGTGGCGGCGAACAAATATTTCATGACCAACAGAATTGTGCCATCAGCCATGTGTAAAAGTAATGTTCTTTTTTATGCTTTTTTCACTTGTTTAGACCTAATTGAGTTTAGTTGATATCAAACATCAGTTACAAACGGAAGGATACTTGTTTTTAGTGGGTAACTACGTGTTTTTCTACATGCTTTCTTTGAAATTGTGTGTGTGAGTGACCTTTTTTTTATGCAGAGATTACAAACCTTTTGTACTATTTTTTGTTTTATAAAAAAAAAACATTTATATTAGTAGGTACAGCTAAATCACCCTGGAAAACCTTGGTTTTTATTAAATTTAATTTTCACCTAATAATAACATTTGTAAATATCAAACAAACAAGAACCTTAATTTGGAAAAAAATAAGGTTTATGATTCATTGATATTTGCAAATGTTAAATATAATTTAATGTTATACAAATGTAATAGTAAAGTCGATCTAAAAACGTCTAATTAGTAAGAATAGCAAAACAAGTGTTTTCAAAAGGAAAAAAACGCCGGCGTTATACGGCGGCGGATTGACAAAAGACTATTTATTAGCGAACTTTTTTTATGCATGAACGGTTTCGAACTGTTTCAAGCAAAAATAAACCTTATACCATATCACAAGAGCACATGGTACTTCGTAGGTCTATTCGGCCATATGATAGTAATAAGACGGCAGTTCAACCATTTTAAGCAAAATTAAACAATAAGACAAACTCATTGTTTTTTTTTAACAGGAGACTTGTTTTCCAGAAATTTATTTACAACTTGAGTTTGTGAGCGATCGCAATGAGTACTATTATTTGTTACTTATTAGACTATTTTTTCACAACATGATTTAAAACCCACAAAGTAAAAAGTGTACCATGTAAAAGTTAAAAAAAGGTTGTTGACCCCTAAAAATTTCAAATTTTCAAAATATCCAGAAACAAAGCTGTAGGCATGAACTACTTGCAAAATAATGAGTATTTTGTTCTGGATAAATCTTCCAAAAAAGCAATTTGAGCAAGTTATAACGATTTTAAAAAAAGACAACAAACAACACAAAATAATCGATGACGTGCCATCTGCACTGAACCGGATATCCGCCTCCATATGTAATGAATATGTCTACTTCCTCATGTTGTATGAGGTTAAGTAGTCTCTATTTCTCTAGGATACCATTTTGTGACATCCTAAGTCTATTTAAGTATTTCTTCTCTAATCAAATATCCTATCCATCACCACTTTAACTGCCTTTTAATTAAAAATATGTTTGTATGTCAATATCTGCTTCGCTTTATTTTGTGATAACATACCCTGATTTTTGCATGTTTTGCTAAGTGAAGGAATATGTTTGACAACCATAAATAAGAAACAGAAGAATACAAGTGTAGAATTTTTCCTTCTAATACCAACGTTAATAACGTTAAACTAATGTACTAATTTTGATATAGCATTATTCACTTTGTCAAATTTTAATTATTGCCGTTTAAGTTTAAAAGTTAAGGAAGTGTCATCAGCAAATTATACTAAATCATGACTATACCCTATAAGGGAAGGTAAGTCATTAATAGACTAAAAATAGGAATGAACCGAGAGTTGATCCTTGAGGAACAGGTGACCCGGAAGACTAAACATTTAAGCGCCATGTTCTTGAAACCATATTGCTGTAGTTTCTTAATTAATGTGACATGGTGAACACAGAAGACCTGAAGGCCTTGGGAAGGTCTCAAAATAACCCAAAGCATCCTCTGAATTCTCCCATACACAAAAATATGTTTAATAAGCTCAACACCGGCATCAGTTGTCAAGCGACCCCTTGTGAAACCAAATTTATTTTTATGAAGCAATTTATTTTATTAAAAAAACTTTTGCTAAATGTTAGTTGCACAAAAATTAGTCTAAAATTGGTGGGGGTGTAATATACTACATATTTAAATGAAGGTATGACTTAACTATGTGTCATTAACTCAAGAAACCTACTGTGTTTGTATTGAAAACAGTGACTAGATAAGTTTTACCTGTTATAGATGCAATAACTTTAACGGAAATCTCCTATAATTTTTTTTTAACAGCCGTTTTCTTAACACCATAAAGTTTTAAAATATGTAATGATATCTTTTGGCAATACACAATTAACAGTTTTAAAACAAGTCTTTACATTTTGTTTAAAAATGATTCAGCAACAATAGGAGAAGAATTTTTTTATCACTATCCTCCCCCCATCCACACCCATGACGAAAAGTACAAATAGGCTTCCAGTCCCAGGCGGCCCCGCTATTCCTGGCTACGGTGGTGACTATGGTATCGGCGGGACAGGGAGGCGCTAAGAATCACCGATGGAGGTTTGGTTGCCACCTTAGACGATTAGACCTGGCAACATTAATTAATACAAGCACACTAAGGGATCCTGGAGCTGGAAGAAGGGAGAGACCAATTGCGCTGACTGGATTATCTGAAGTCCGAAGAAAGGGGCCAAATAAGAAAATTGCGGAAGACAATTAAAGAAAAAAGACGCGACAAACTGCGATCTGCAGTGCTGTTTCACCAAGACAACGCTCCGGCTCACAAAGCTGCAGTTGCGACGGCTGCCATTCAAAAAACGGGATTTGATGTGCTCGAACACCCGCCCTATGCACCAGATCTAGCTCCCAGAAACTTCTATTTCCTCGGCTCAAGGAACACCTTCGATGCAAGAAATTTGCAGACGTGATGGATACAGTTGAGGATTTTTTGGAGGGTCGAGATAAAGATATTTTTTTTTTAGGGGAATTCTGAGTTTAGAAAAAACATGGACTAATTGCATTGACTAGTTAGAAGACTATAAAGAAAAAAATATTATTTTTTTAATCACCATGTTTAATATTCATTATCATTACTTTTGAATCAACCCTTGTAGATCCAGAATAATTGACAGAATCCAACAGCATAGTAAGCTGAAGTGGCAATGAACTGGCCATATAAATCAAAGAACTGACAACCGATGAAGAAAGGTTCTAAATCCCGTCCTCGTTAGATGGAGTGACAACCTGATACGAGTTGCAGAGAGTCAATGGATGCAGGTGGCATGGTAACATGCTTTGTGACATATGTTGAGTAGTAAACTAGTAACTAAAATGTATTTGTCATAACTTCTGTTTTACCTAAATGCATTGTCAAACCAATTTTTTTCACTATTTTCTGCCAGTCATCAAAACATTATTTAAGATTTTTCGGAACTACCAGCAATTACTATAATTTAGTCTGCAAATCTCAAATGGTTCAGTTTCTGCCTATTTATATAATAGAATAGAATATTCTCTAATGTAAGGGTCTCATTGCTTTACTCCTCTCTGTATAAAGAAAATTCTCCTCTTCTTTCCAATCGCACTTATAAATTTCTCTGTTAATCCTAATGTATTTACTTTAGACATCCATTCTAGATAAAGCTATCCAAGTGTAACTGGGATATAAAAAGTCCAAAGCTTTATTATAATAATCCACAAATACAATGTAGAATGTTTTTCTGTACTCATCCACAATCATCAATACCCACCCTGTCAAAGTCCACAGCTAAACATAGGCCTCCTCCATAAATTGTCTCATGGCAGATATTTTCCTTAGTTGTCATGTTTAGCAGGTGCATTGGCAACTGTATTTAATTATTTAGAGCCGTTATCAGGAAAATGGTGCTGATTATCTCATGTTTCAGTTTCCCTCTGTCACCTCTTACAATTCCCATTGGATGATATGGGGAAGAAGAGGCTATTACAATGCTGGCGCACAATGTTTATGATTTAATTTTTTTTGTTGTTGATTTAATTTGATTTTGTTTATTTGCTATAATGGTCTCTTGAAAAATAATTAATATGATATTTGTAAAGTTTTCCTCATTTCATACTTTTCTTGCATTTTCCAATATTGAAATCTTTTATATTTCCTTTTAAAAAAAAGCAGAAACAGAAACTTTTTTATTATAAATAATACCTACTTATTGATAGTCACTCTTGTTTAATTTACCACTGGTTTGGAAAAAAACTCTGTCCTGGGAAGAACCAGCAAGAAACCCAGTGAGATTATTTAAAAAAAACTAACAGCTTAAAACCATATTGTTACACAATTAATAAGACAAACCAAATTAGATTTTTTTTATAGGATAGGGTGACAAACGTGCACACAGTCCACCTGATGGTAAGTGGTTGCTGTGGCATAGACATCTACATTTATCCTCGTTTGTGAATCAAAATGCAAATGCGTTGTCACCTGTGAGGATTAAGATGGAATGCCTCTTTTCCAGTAAAAAGGGTCTCCGGTTCTCTACACTCACCATGCGAAACACAGCAGTGTTAAGCTGCTATTTGACACTGGTATTCTGTGAGAGTGTGGTCCTTCCCCGGTCGAACCGACCCTTTTGTGCCACAACTATACTACTAATATAGCTGCAGCATAGCTCTACCACGTAGAAATAGCTTGGTAGTGATCATATCATTCCCAGAAGTTATCATCATCTATAAATTCCTTAATATTATAATAACTCTTTATACAAACATTGTTTAATAAAGTTTTTGGCCTTTGAGCAGGTCAAATTTTGTATGTTTTCTTGGATTTTGTTGTAACTGTTTTGTAACTGACTCAGTGGAGTCAAGTAACTGAAACTACTAGCCTGTGTCTGTTCCTAGTATTTACAGAATAAATATTACTTATTTTAGTAAAACTACGTTTATTTTTGTGTACGTACGTTACATTTTCATAAATGTATTGAGAGGCGAAAGTTGATAAATATATCAACTTTGACCTCGCAATACAATTTTTGCTTCATAAAACAGATATAATTTCAGCGATATTATGCTATGGAAGTAACTAAAATAAACTAAAGTGAAAATTAAAGAGATATCCTCAGCAAAAAATACTACATCATGATTATCCCTTACAAGATAAGGTAAGTCATTAATATAGATTAAGAACAGGAATGGGCAAGAATCGAGGCTTGAGGAATGCCTTTTACCATTGATAGCGACTTTTTAAGTTTTGTTACTTAAATATGAAATAATAAGTCTAAGAGCAATATTTTTGATATGTAGGGCTTGTTTGCTTCTTCATATTTTATTTTTAGAGGGCGTTGAACTTTAGCTCAAGATAACACATCTGGTTGAAGCATATGGGATGCTAGTTACCAATGATATTTAGTTTCTTGTCGTGACAATTGAAATCTAACAATATTTATAAATTTAAAAATTAAATGACATAATAAACACGCTTACCATAAATACGGTTTATACTTGCACATTCATGATTGCCTCGCAGAAGAAAGAAGTTCTCAGGATACTTTATTTTGTATGCAAGCAGAAGGCATATGGTCTCAAGAGATTGTTTTCCACGATCAACATAATCACCCAAAAATAAATAATTAGCTTCTGGTGGAAAACCTCCATATTCAAAAAGACGCAGCAAGTCTGTGTACTGACCATGAATATCACCTGAAATAACAATACAGTTCATTTTAAATAGTAAGCTGCAATTGTTATCATTAAAAAAAGCCTTAGTTATAATATCTAAAGGAACAATTGACAAAAATAATTTTATACATCAGATTTTAATCTGTTGATAACCAATCTTTTTACCACACTCGGATAGTTTTACAATTGATAACTAACTCTGAGAAACAGAATGGATGGTTAAATGAAAACATAAAACAACAGTAATAGTCCCAATCGATTATATCAACATGTTTTTGAAGCACCAATTACAATTAAAAAATGATTATAAATTTTTGTATAAAAACCTTTCCGAAAAAATTCTCTTCACTACAGTAACATCGATGGATGAAAAAATGGAGTATATACACTCCATTTTTATATAAAAAGTAATGCCTTACTCATGCAAGGATTTGTTCTCATAAAATTAATTTCAATATCAGAATAGATGTTGGTGAAACAAAAAGTTAGATATTTTCAGAGTAGGTATATATATAATAGGGAATAGGTCTTATTTAACTTTGGCTAGAATAAAATATTAAAGTATTCATGAAATACTTAAATAAATATACTCTTTTTATAATGTTCTATTGGCAGATATTTTTTACATAGAAACAAAACTTAAATCAAATTAAATTTAAATTGTATGATGTATTAATTTATTTAGGTTGGTTATCACTACTATCACACTAGCTTGCATACATTTTAAACAGTTATATTACCACAAATTTTTAGTGGTGCTTCTAGTTCCAGTAATATAGGTTGCTGCAAAAATATTTCCCGAGACTTGGTGCAAAGACCTCGCACCTCGGATTCTGACATCTGGACTGTTTTTCCTGGTCTGCATCCTCGAACTGAAGCAATACTTATATTTAATTATATTAACAATAGGTTACAGAAACCAAAAGAACAGCTCAAAAACAGCGTATAACCTAATAACAATTAACCTAATAGCAAAGTAATAAAATTTAATACTATTTAATATATTTTGAATTTAAGTAATAGCTATTATAAAAACACAGAAAGCTGTTTCCTTGGCTCTATATTAAAACTTATATTTCAAGCAATGATAAGAGGTATAATGACAATAAGTAATCAAAATAATTACATACATATTATTATCACAAACATTTTACAAAAGTTTAAGAAAATAATTTAAAAAAAATGGCATAATCTTAAGGCATGCTTAATACAGATGTATTTAACAACTGACAATATGAGAATGATTAAAAAGAAAAGATAAAAAGACAATGCAATAAATAAAAGATTTTATGTTATTATGTATTTAAGTAGTAAATATAACTAATAAGTATTTTTGTTTTGTTTATTCATACTAAATCAGAAATAGTATAAGAGATTCCATATGGGGTTGATGTTGTAAGAGGTATAAGAGCTAGCTTAATACTGCTGTTTCATTTAGTGAATGTAGAGGACCAGAGACCCTTTTCCTGGAAATGAGGCATCCATCTTATTCCTCAGGGATGAAAACACATTTGCATTTTGATTCTTAATCAAGGACAGATACAGACATCTATGGTTCTCAGCATCCACTTACTATTAAGCTGTGTACTTCTCACGCTCATTCATTAAAAAGGATTACAATTAAATAGGAGATGGGCAGCAGCATCTTTGTGATTACAATTAAATAATAATAACAATAAAAAAACTGCAGTTACTAATCCACCTGCCATGTGTAGCATTTATGAGGCAACCCAACTTACAGAAAGGCCTACATCCAGCAGTAGAATTTTAATAGGCTGTGACGAGTAAATGAATGAATGAAAATCAGAAAATATTGTCTTCAGGTATTGTTCAGTTGTTGTAATTTTTTTTTTCTATAAGTGCTTACAAACAAAAGATTGAAGAAAACCAAGTTTGAAATGTTCATGAAACAAATTATTAGGGCGTAAATGGGCGTTAAAATAATAGTAACAATTCTAGCTTAATACTTTCAAAATAATTTAGGATTTAACCGTACATTCTCCCGAAAAGATGTCTTTCAATTTCCCTTTTCGCCTTGCCGAATCCTGTTGCAGTCTGTATACTGTCGTAACCCATAAAAAGCAGCATGATAAAGTGAAATGTAGAAGTAAAATAAGATACAATGCGAAGAAAGCATAACATTTTAGCCCATGAAATTGTTCTGTGCCATAAGATTGGCAAGATTATTAAAAGTTAATATCGTATATTCGTGCAGAGACTTTTTAAGACCTTCTCTATTGTAAGATGTAAATAGATAAAACGTTATTATTAAAAGAAGATTCAGATAAGAATTGAGGATAATCGATTTATTTATGAGTTTGACGTTTCTATACCTATGCACCGAGTGATAATTACGCAACTAGGAAATAAAATAACTTTACAAAAACTGTTGTAGCAATCAATTTAAAGGCGTAGAATTTGTATAATACTTAAAATACTAAGTGACGAAGAAATATTACCTTCTAAAAGTCTGTGAATAAGACTGTCAACATTGAGTTCGTCAGCCATATTTACTACACCACGAATAATTTACGTCAAACAAAAAGTCAAATCTTGATCAAATCAAACCCAAAGAGTATAAAAATAAGTACATAGTCAAACCCATAGACTTGATAATAGTGGCGGTGGCGTATAGACCACAAACAAGTAAGAAGTTGCGTATAGACCGACATAGTGTGCAAGGGGGAAGAAATAAGAAAATTTCTTACGGCACAAATGCAAGATAGAAAAGGATATCAAATCTTATGACTCTGTAACTAATTTTGAATGACAAGTCGGCGCGCAAGAAATATGCTCCTAGATATTTTGTAAATTTTTAGAGTGTAATAGTGGTAATTTTTAGTAACTTTTTTTCAAAATGGTTAGGAACTTATTCTGTGAGTGACTGTGGTGTTAATAAAAGAAATAATCCTGATATTGTGACAATATTATGACGTGTTTAATTTTGATTAAAATTTTTGTTGTAATACTGTTTAAAATATAGAATATTTTCAATTATTTTGTTAATCTTTATATTTTGCAAAGAAAGAAGTTACGTTGTTGATAATTTGCATGAATTTGGTAAATACATTTTTATACAAAATATTTTACATGTTCGCTAGGGACTGACGCTAGGGATTGACTCAACTATATCAAAATTAATGTCGATATTTATGTTGAATGTTTATATTTAATCGATAGACTTGCCCACACAACAAGAAAATTAATCTTCGGTTTGCGTTTTATAAATGTAATTTTATTTTTTCGCTTTTCAAACAGTTTCTCTCCGCATTCTATAATTAGAAAAAATGGTTAAGATTAATTGGACGGGTTGGTTGTAATCCAAAGACTACTTCAACAATTTGCAGCAAACATTTACTTGACAAGTGTAAAGGAAAAAGTAAAGTAAGTAAAAAGTAAGGTAAGGCAGCCGGATATGATAGAGTATCTCTCGAAATGCTAAGGGCTGGAAAAGGAGTGGTGGCAGACCTGCTGTACACCTTGTGTAACTTATGTTGGGAAATTAACCGGGTACCGGGAGACTGGTGCAAAGCCGTGATAGTCCTTATATATATAAAGGATCGCAGCAGGACTGTAAGAACTACCATGGTATTAGCCTTCTTAGCATTGTGGGAAAACTATATGCTACGGTACTAATTGAAAGAGTTATGAAAGAAACTGATGGAAAAATTTAGAATGTGCAAGCGGGATTTAGAAAGAGAATGAGGTGTACGGATCAAGTCTTTTCCATGCGCATGGTCGCAGATAAGTTTTTGGCCAAAAACCAAAAAGTTATTTGTGCGTTCGTGGACTTGGAAAAGGCTTATGAAAGAGTGGACAGGAATGTGTCATGGCAAACACTGAACTCATTTGGGTTGATACATGGTATTGAAGTCTCTATATAGAGACTGTAGTGCTTGTGTCAGGATCAACGGGGCCTACTCGGACTAGTTTGGCATTCATAAAGGTGTCAGACAGGGCTATGTGGCTTCCCCGTGGTTGTTCAACCTATTTATGGACTATTTATGGAGTTGTTTTGAAAATTTAAAAGTTGAAGAATGCGGGTTAAGAATGGGTGAGGTAACCGTCACATGCCTTTTGTACGCCGATGATCAAGTCATACTTAACATACCGAGATTGAGAGATAGAGAGTGCATCTGTATTCTCAGACACATGGTGCGCTTTACTCTGTTAAGATCATTATGGTTTTAAAATTCATGCAGCTTAAATGATAATTAGTTTATTATTACTTTATACTTTTCAGGGACAGATAAAACATTATAAACATGAAGCATGATGAAGCCTTATAAACATATTTACCTTATATACAGCATCACGGAAAACGAAATGCGTATTTTTTTCAATATGGAAAGTGCTGAATAGTGTTATAATTAAACTCCGTTTAATATTTTGATTACATTATTGCTTCGCTACAGTATTAAACCTTACGGTATCTACAGTACTACAGTACAGTATTAAACCTTAGGTAGGCGGCGTAGTGGGGGTTGAAATCTAGGGTGGTTTTCTATCAAGCACCCCCCAAAATAAAACAAAAAATGCTATACATGCTAACGGGACTTTATTTTGTTAAAATATTCTAATATATTATCAAAGTTTACTTTCTTGTCATTTTCGATCGATAAAATGGAAAGATGGTTAGTCCCGCTTGGCTCATTGTGGACCTTAAGTTAGATTTTATTAACTTGAGTTTTGATAAGCTTCCTTCACATGAAACTTAAGAGTAAAAAAAATCTTAGACACAGCGTTAGATTCGGAACAGATTCAAAATAGCCCAATTTTACGACAAAAGCTCTAAGGAGTTACATTGAACTGCTCCTTTGGAAGAAATGCTGACAGCTTTCAAGTCGTGAAGTCTCCAAAATTATGTATCGTGCAGAAAAATCATCGTAGATTTTTGTCTGATTTTGAACTATTATTTGAAGATCTTCATCTGGTGACGTTAGCAGAGGGTAAGGCTGAACATCACTACTTGTTACGAGAATATTATCCATTGCTCAGTAGCGATAATCTAGTTCCTCGTAAAATCTGTCAAGACATTCTAACATAGCTCTCTGCAGCTCCTCTGGCAATTTTAGTCCAGCATATCGAGTCATTACTCCTCGTAAACGTTTTCGAAATCTCCTCATTCCTCTTCTTCCTTCAATCGAAATGCCTACATTCTCACATTTTTTTGTTACGTAGGAAATATCTTTGTCCACTTAGTTCAATACGTTGGCTCTGAAGAAAACAATTTGGGCTTTGATTTTTATCTCATACTTTTCCAGTGATAATCTAGATTATTGTTATATTATTTAGTATTTGCTTTTGTGTCTGACTAACTTCTATTAGGATTTTACACCAAAATGAAATATAGCATAAAAAACTGAAGTCACACAAAGCTGGTACGAGTGTAGATATTGCTTCTTTTGTATCGACGTTTTCTTTGTTGGTGCTGGGACCATATATATCTTCGATCTTCGAGTGTTTCTACTAGTTTTTTTTAAATTATTCTGCAGTGGTTTAACAACGTCACGATAAGCAATTCATTTTGTCTCTGAGAGTCTTTTGACGGATACGCCTACAATTTTTATTAAAGTTTCCCATTGACGTATGGATGATGAAAAGAACCTGTAAACTCTTTCTACTGTTCCGAAAATAAGTTAAACTTGAATTAACGCTCCCTAAGTGAGTGCACTCCACATAGATTTAGCGAATGATTAGCACAAGGCGTTTTCTACGTGGTAGAGCCATACTGCAGCTATATAAGTAGTAAAGTTGTAGCACAAATGGATCGGCTCGACCGGGGAAGGACCATGCACTCACAGAATACCAGCGTAATATAGCAGCTCAACACTGATGTATTTCGTATGGTGAGTGTAGAGAACCAGAGACCCTTTTTACTGGAAAAGAGGCATTCCATCTTAGTCCTCACGGGTGACAACGCATCTGCATTTTGATTCGCAAACTAGGATAGATGGAGATGTCTATGGGTCACGGCAACCACTTAACATCCGGTGGACTGCGTACTCGTTTGTCACCCTATTCTATATAAAAAAAAAAACAATATATTCATTCATTTGACAACGTCAATTTTAAAATAGTGTTGTTATCTATAGCGTAAAATGCACCTCCTAGTTTTTAGGGAAAGAACATTCGTGTAATAGAAACAGAAACTTTTTTATTCAATATAGATTATTATAAATAATTATTATTAAAAGTCACTCTTATGTTTAACTATCACTGGTTCGAAAAAAACCTCTGTCCTGCGAAGAACAAGCAAGAAACCCAACGGAACTTTTTTTTAAATAACAGCTTCCAATCATGTATGTTACATAAATTAACAACACAACAAATAAGAAATAGCTCGGTAGCGATCACCTCATTTCCAGGGGTTATTATCATCCATGAATTCTTTAATATTATAATAACCCTTTTTATACAAACTTAGTTTACTAAAGATTTTGAACTTTGAGCAGGGCAAATTTTGTATATTTTCTGGAATTTTATTTTAAAAGCATATACATCTCCCCAAGAATGAATTACTAACTCGATGGAGTCGAGTAACTGGAGTAACTAGCTTGTGTCTGTTCCTAGTATTTACAGAATGAATATCACATATTTTTGTAAAACTACTGTACTGTACATTACATTTTCATAAATGTATTGAGAGGCCATAGTTAATATATTAATTTCCTTAAATTTTTGTCGCAGCGACTCTTTAGGCTTTAAATCATAAATTGCTCTTATGGCTCTCTTCTGTAAAACAAATATAATTTCAGTGTCAGCTGCGTGTCCCCATAGCAAAATACCATACGATTATGCTATGGAAATAGCTAAAGTAAACTAGTCTAGCTGTTTCAAAACTGGTGAAAATTTTAAACTTTTTCACAGCATATGCTGCAGACCTAAGTCTGCTTGCTAATTTTGATATATGGGGGCTCCATTGAAGCTTAGCATCTAATGTGATTCCAAGAATAATGGTTGTATCTACAAGATTCAGTTTCTCTCCATTTAAAATTACATTAGAATTTAATTGTTTGACATTTGGAGTCATAAATTTCATACATTAAAGTGTTTTAGTGTTTTTTTTTCGTGTTACTTAATAATAAGCTTAATTAAAATACAATATGGAATATACCAACTATGATTAGCGATAAAAATGTAAGATTATCGTTCTAGCATACGTTTAAAATATTACTTTAAGTAAATAACTGTCAAAACGTTGGTAATGTTTTTATTTTGTGTAAACATTTATCAATGTTAGAAGGAGATAAAATACCCAACTCGGTGCCTCTCTTTGTAAGAAAAATGAGGAACGATTACAATGTTCTAAGCGCTCACTCCCCATATTATATTATTACCACCTTGGTTATCTGTGACAGTCTCAAAGAATGAAGTTACAATAGACGCAGGCAACGCAGGACTGATCATAGACAATGAGTATTTGGTTTTAAAATTCCACTTTGAAATGGCAAAATGTCGCTGATTTTGGTTGTCAAGCTATTTTCTCATCGCAATGTGCCGTTCTGGCGCATACTATGTATGAAACGTTGTAGATTGGCGTTTGAGTTGTATTTTATTTTAGACAAGACTTGACATTAATTCAAAAAACTTCATGGCTGCTTGCTTCATGACGCTATACTATCGCATTTACTTTTGGTAAACAAGGGCAGCAAAACAAGAGATTATATCAATGTTACGGTTGCAAATAGGGTGATATTTTTACAGTGGATGTATATTTGTATTACAAAAGAATAGAGGTCCTTTCAAACGTGTAATACGGTCACGGATATGGAGGAAAAGGAAGAAAGTGAACAAAGTTATAGCAGCGGAAGTAGTAGTTCCTCCGACTCATCTAGCGGGAGTTCAGAATGCGATGAAGAGTTAATGGAACAAGTTCGTATATTAGGCCACACCTTAGAGTTACCACAAGAACTTTGTGAAGATTATTCCATCTTCAAAGAATTTTTCTCTCTTAAGACGTGGGAAAGCTTAGAAGATAAACATAAAGATCATCTTAAGAAGCTTTTGCCGCAATTTAGTAATAATGAAGATGAAGAGAACGAAAAAACTATAAAAATGTTGTTTAACCATGAACCATTCCATTTTACTTCACCTCTTAGCAATTTTTATTCAAATTTGAGACAAGGAAATTATAGGCCTGATATAGCAAAAATGAGAAAATTTCTAAAGAAGGCTAGAGCAAAACAACTAAAACACAAGGTGAATTTCTGTATATTTTTATATATAGTTTATTAGGCATTATTACTGTTTTACTACAAATTTACAAAGATTTTGTTAATTAATATTTTAATAAGTATGTATCTGAATTTTTCCAGAAAAAATCATATTATGCTAAACTACTACCAGAATTGTTAATATCTCGAGAGCGCTTAATGGCAGCTGTAGAAGCAGCACCACCTGGTCCAATACCTCGATTGCCTGTTTTAGCTCCAAAACCATCAACTAAAAATAAGTACAAGCCTTTATATATAAGAGTAAAACAAAGATATTTTGAAGAGTTAGCTGCTATTTGGAGTGAAGTTGGAGGAGAAGAGTCAGAGGATGACAATTATCCAGATGGACCACCTGAGTGCTCAATTAAAAAAAAGAAGCAATCAGTTTCTGGACAGGTATTATTATTGGTTTTGTTTTTTAATTTTATGTGGGCTAATTAGTAATATTTACTTGTTTTTTAATACTTTAAGTATATGTTATGGCAATTAGTAATATTTTAAACCTATCCGAAAGAAAATATAAAAATTTATATTGAAGTTTTATGCTGTGACCATGTAGTGGCGGTGTTAAAATATCCACTACCTCATATCATCCCGTGGGTGTTGTAAGAGAGAAACAAATCAAAAGATTGGCAGCAGCATCTTCTTAATAACAACTAAAAATAAAAAACCAGTTGCTAACCTGCTTGCCTAGTATGGCAACTATGGCTAATATCCCCTCTGAAGCAACCTATGGGGCAGGCATATGTTTAGCAGTGGACTTTAATAGGCCATAATGTAACAGTTTATGCTTCAAAGCTTATTATAGCTTAAATGAATGTATTGAAAAGAAATTAACAAGGAATGGTCCGAATTGCAGTTCAACATCAAGCTTTCTTAATTTGTGACTTAATATTAGTACCATAAATACATAAGATGAAGCTACATCCTTTGTTCTTTAGGTGGAAAATATGAGTGGTCTCATGGGAAATTACAAGTGTTTAGTAAACTGTCTTAATTTTGTGTATTTTGGAGACACAATGTGTGTAATGGACTTTTGTTGTTGTTGTATACTTCCCTTTATTATGGTCTAGGTGGGATGCCACATGCATCTTACATGTGAATAGTGCTGCATTTAGAGGCTAGTCTGTTCTATACAATGAATAGCTCCAAATTTATAAGGTTTCTTTTGAGTGCATCATAGAACTTGCTTTTGTTACCTGCATTCTTTCTTTCACCATTTCTTCTCAGGCCAAAGGAACCTCATTTGGAAACGGTAGTATATTGACTAGATTTAAAAATGGCATTTGCTAAATTAAAATATACATTTTTGAATCAAAATAAAAAATTATGTATGTATAAAAAAGTACTTTCATGATTTTAATTGCTTATTGTATTTAATAAACTATTTAACTAATACTACACACTAATTTTATTAAACTTAGGTGTATTCTATTTTTTCATGATTAATGCTATGTGCAGCTGGTTACCAGTAGATTAAGGTGTGGCATTTAAAGCTGAATACATTTATATAGTATGTAAATTATTCTACTAAAGATGGAAAAACTTATTGCAAAAGTTTTGTGTCAAACATTAGCCTCTGTAGCCTATGTACACCACCTAAATGAAACTTGGTTAGCTTAGTTTAAGTTAAGTTTTTATACTAGGGTAAGCCATAACATATATGAGAAATAATACAACAGCTTATAGTAAAGTCTGATGGATGGATTTTTGACAAGTGGTAATATTAAAAATTTTGTACAACCGACTTCAATATAAATAAATTGAGAACATCATCAATGTATTCTAAGTCAATTAAATACGCATTATAAAGAATATCTCAAAAATTACTGGTCAGATCTTGATCAAATTTATATGGAAAAGATGAGAAGCTCCAGCTTTCAAATAAAAAAAAGAATCATAAAATCAGTTCACCTAGAAAAAAGTTCAAGAGTTAACACACAAAAAAAAATATTCTAATTGAGATCCTCCTCCTTTTTTTGAAGTCAGCTGAAAAATAAAGTAATATTTGGTATTAACTGCATTAGAGTTTTTTTTATAAAACTTATAGTCTACCTGATAATACTGCAGCCTATGGATACTAGCAACTCACTTCAAACAGAAAAGAGCTTACTCCTTTTTAAAAGTCCAGCAACGCAGCTGCAATTCCCCTGGTGTTGCAGTTGTTCATGGGTGGCGGTAGTCACTTACCATCAGGTGAGCCGTATGCTCATTTGCCTCTTCTATAAAAAAAAAACAAGAAAGGCTACAGATGTGTTGTCACGCCTGTGGACTAAGATGTAATACTTCACAGTTTGTAATTATACTGCCTCTAAACTTTTCAGACCAGAATACAGTAGTGCAAGCACTGCTAATTGGTGGTTCAAATAGGCTAGGGGGTGTTACTTACGCAGACGGACCCCAAGGCAGACAGAGTCCTAATGCTTATAATATAAATCTAATATATAAAAATTAATTTTTATTTGTTCGCATTTTATGCGATGCTATACCGTTCATCAGATTGCCCTAAAACTTTTTTAACTTTTTGCTTGCACTTGTAAGAAGGTTATAGGCATATTACAACTAACTTACAATAGGTGGCGCGCATATCGTACCGACCAATTTATTTGAAAGTTATACATCACTCAACTTCAATGAATGTATTATCATTCCTAATTAAACAATATAATTCTTCCAAATGTAAAACGATATTTCGAAAAGTGAGTTATATTTTTGCTTAGTGTCTGAAAATAAATGTTTCATTATTTTAATTAATTAATCAAGAAAGAAGTAAGAGCAACACATTACATACACAAACAAGTTTAACAAAAAGTTTTTGACCCCTTTTTAAAATCAAATATACCTTCCATCATCATGATTATCATCACTAGAACCCTTCACAGTCTACTGCTGAATATAGACCTCCACCAAGGAATGCCACAAAATATGATCTTAAGTCACATGCTTACCAACTTCCTGCATGTCTTACCACTTCATAATTCCAACTAGTCGGAGAGGGCATTTTACACTTCGCTTATCGGTTACAAGGCTGCCATTTAAGAACCTACACTGCTGAATCATTCTTTCCCATTTTGTTTTGGTTTTCTAAGTTACATGGCTGGGCTATTACCACCTCAGCTGAATTTGTTGTGTCAGTTACTCCAGTTCTACTGTGGATATCTTCATTACGAGTTCTATCATGCAGATATACTCTGACTAACTACTAACTCAGAGTAAAACTTCTTCCTATATGATTATAAAAGTAATGAAATTTGTCTATTTCATGTAACAAGGGTCTTAACAGTAATTAAAAAAAACCTGATTGTATAAAAACTTTATTTAAAAGAGAAAAATTTCATACCTTATGTCCCTAACACAACTAAGGCTTTGGTTTCTTGATCGTAACGCACAACGCTGCGGTAAGCGGCATGAGGTGCCGGACACATAATCGTATAAAAAACGTCTAGAATGGTCTCTTGTTCCGTCGCAGTATGCGTTAGTGGCGAAGGGCAAGCGCGGAAGTGAGGAGCGGGTACTCCGCACTGGGCGGCGTCGTTCGAGAACTACGCTGCGGTGTGCGTCACGGGTTGACAATGGATTTGTTTGATGATAATTTAATATAATTAATCCGCAATTATCCCTCTATATATTAAAATAAATACAAAAAACATAAAAGTTTAATGGTCAAAGAAAATTGCTGGAGGGAGATAGCTGAGAAGTTGAATAAAACAAAAAAATGTTCATGTTGACACGTCTGCTTTGATAGCTGAGGCAAAATCAACTGACCAGTGATCACTTCTCCGCAGAGACGCTAAATTCTACGTCGTGACGCTGTGTTTGAGCCCCATACCGCAGCGTTGTGCGTTACGATGATGAGACTTAAGCTTTAGATGAATCTAACTGCACCCCATACATTAAAATTGGAGATGGCCCAAACATGAATTTCACCAAATACGAATATTCGGTAAAACTTTTACCAAACCGAGTATTCAGCTAAATATTCCGCATTAATGATTATCATAGTTAAACAGTAGGGTGAAGTTTAGTAACACTTTGCCTAACGTTCGGTGATTTAGCCGAGTATTCGGCCGAATAAGAATATTCGATAAACCTGCCGAATATACCAAATATGAAACTAATATTCTGCTCATTTCTAATTAACATCCATCCATCCATCAAGCCATTTCGGTAGCAGAGTAGCAAAGAAATAGACATACATACATATAAATATACATATATACATTTACTCGAAACTTTCCTCCATTTGGGGCAAAAGTTAATAATTTTAATGTTTCAAAACTCACTCATTTTATTGCTAAGTATTGGCAATAAAATCAGTGAGTTTTGAAACATTAAAAAAAATATTAATATAAAAAATCCTTTATTTAATAATTTGTTACATTTACTGCCCGATAATAAATATCTGTATGAAGGCATTTTTTTACAAAAGTATGAAAAGCTGTGTAATAAAAAGCTATAATTATCCACTTATTTATTTTCAGCATGTTGATAACAATGTGTCCGGAACACTTGGCGGTAGGGTTACCTCACATCTGACATCACTCCAATGTTTAAAGAATGTTCTTGCAACTCACAGGGCAAGGAGACAGTATAGAGAAGTAATAACGAATTTGCTATTGTGTTATAATATTTTATTTTTTATTTGTATTAAATCATGATATTTTATTACATATTATAGAATCACCCAGAACTTAATACCACTGGTATCACTTTAGAAGACATCAAGCAGAGAGTTGCTCTTATGAATGGTGCCAAAAAGCTTATGTTTGGTGGTCCAAAAACAGAAACACCTATTCAGAAGCTTAGAAGAGGTGCTAAAAGGGAATTACATCATAGGCCTATAAAAACAGATACTAAATCTGCAATTAAGAAAGGGAAAGATGAACTACATGACAGCATTGATAATAAACCACTATTACCAAATATAAAAATAAAGTGTGAACAAGAGGAGTCAGATTCAGAAAATTCATCATTCTTGGATCCTGTCGCAAGTCCAAAGCAATCCAGAAAACTGTTAGATCATTCAGAAATTAAACAAGAAGCTGTTGACACTAAATATCAAAGTATCTCCAAGTTAGTGTTGCAATTTCATAGCATTGTATTAAATTTGCTATATTATGCTGAAATTATATCGTTTAATTTAATTTTTTAGTATGGCCTACAATGAGTCTAAATTGGAAAGTATAATTAAACAAGAGCCCATTGACAGTCTAGGTTCAATACAAAGTAATTCAAGAGTAATACAACCAGTGCCTATTAAGTTAGAGGATTTAGATGGTATTGGTAAGTATATGTTTGTGTCTGTATAAAAGTTAATGGTACATGTGTAAATAGTTAAAATAATTTGTGTAAATTGAGTCAAGTGATGGCAAAATAACACTATCAGGCAATCTCATATTTCCCTTACTAGGTGATGCAAAAAACCAGTGATAGAATAAGTATTTTCTTGATGTTTATTTTTATGGCCATCTTTATTTTTAAATCAAATTGGAATTAACATTTTTTTAACTTGTAGGATAGGGTAACTAGGGGAATAAGTGCACCACTTAAAATTTAATAATATGTGAGCAAACTAAGTTTAATCCTGGTGACGAAATTGGTAGTTAAAAATTGAGTCCCGATTTACTACCATAAAGTCAGTTTGTTGGATTTTTCTTGCTCTTAAAACCTTCTCAAAAATGAGAGATTACCCATGCTCAACAGTGTTGTATGTTACAATGCCACTTTGTGTCAAGTGGTGAATGCATGTTACTATTATCTTTCCTTGCTGCAGTTATTAATTACTCTTTGAAATTTTGAAATAGAAAAATTACTATATATTGCATACATTATATTTATCACGTGTTCCATAATTTCATTATTACAGATATGATGGCCTTACCCATAGAATTGGCTGATGAGTCTGGTGAAGTTCTTCCTGTTGACACTTCTGCAGAAACAACAGATGAAGCCCTGGTAGATCCTGATGAAGCATTAACAGAGACAACTCATGCAAACTTTTTGTCTCTGGTAAGGGCTTTGTTTCCTGCTAGGGCGGCACATCGGGCATCCAAGCAACAATTGCAAGCTAGGTGTGCAGCTGTTATGAGGTCGCCTATAGCGCCACTTAACACTTGGTATAATTGTAAGTTATATCAGCAAATCTTTATGTTTAAGTATTATGCGAAAACTGCATTTTATAATAATTTTAAATGGATGAAAATAAAGAATTATTGTTAGGGTCTCTTTTAACTATACATATTCGATGGACTTATTGTCATGACCACAGAATATGGAAATAGGAAAGTGTTATTTGCGTTTACTTATCATGTTTAAAATTCTAGTACTATTTTCTGCCGACAAAGAAAAGTACATAGTGCTTAGAGTTGCCGGCCGGTGACACCGATGCTAACTTTTAATTTACTTACATTTCTATTACTTACATCATCGATCACTAATAAAAAACTAGATACACAATCAGTGACAAAAAATGTCCTTACCGAGAGAGCGCCCACTCGAAAATTTGGGTGCGCTTTTAATCTAGTAGGATTCGAATGCTCCGTCGGTAAACATGCCTCAGTGCTTGTTTAAAAAGTGTAAAAATCACACATCCAGAACGCTAAAAATGGATAGAATTTCATATTTTCGATAAGTTTTAATATTATCATTATTTAATTGTTATCACTGTATCGTAAATACTGATATTTTGTCAATAAATCATCGTAAAAACCTTTTAAATTAATAACTGATTCCTTGTCCAAGTGACGAGCCTCGGTCGTAAAATTTGATTGCTTTTTATTGGCACTTTGTAATTCTGACTTAACATGTGTGTAAGGTTGAATTTTCGATATAGGTCGACCAGCGAGTATCAGTCATAAAAATTTATTGCTTTTTGTACGTAGCTTTTTGAATACAACTTTAGGCAATGCATTTAAGGTTGAATTTACATTAATGTATATTTATTTCAAGTCAAAACAATTGGCGACAGTTTTTAGAGAAGATTTGCATGGGATTGTGTATCTAGTTTTTATTAGTGATCGATAACTTACATGCAAAATTTAACCGTGGATAACGTAAGAGGCACTAGAGGAAAACTGAAACAGAAAATGGGTAGCAGCATCTTTCTGATAACAATTGAGAATAATAAAAAAAACTGCGGTTGGCCAATTCGACTGCCAAGCAAGGCAACTATGGCAAAGTCCCTCCTATGTGTAATCTATGGTGGAGGCCTTGCGATGTGTACATAATATATGTATTTTTCAATTTAATACAATCATTGTTGCTATCAGTCTTATGACACGATGCCGTACTATCAATCTTATTAATAAAAAATTATGATAATGACTATTCATAAAGGTTCGACAGAACTTTTTGAAAGATGTTTGTGAGTTAATGAAATAGGGTGTTCCTATTTGCAATTGAGAATCAAGGACAGACTGACATTTAGCTCGTGTTTGTGTTGTTGAGAATATGTATTTAATAACTCAGCAGCGGTTTGAGCAGATGGCGACATCGGTATCCATCCAAACCGAATTTCACCGCATTTCTAATTCTTTGTGTTTGTGTGGTCATTGCAAATGTTAATCTACTTTTTAATTTATTGCTGAATAATGGACGCAATCTATTTTGACTTTGTTTTATAGATATTATAGATTGAAAAGGTTCCAAAAATATTGGTAAATTTGTTTTTAAATTTATTTGTATTGGTATATTGTACTTGATATCAGAACCAAAACCGTAACCGAAACCTAAATGAGATTTGATTTTATTGAGTGACATGAAATAATAATTTTGTCATATGTTATATTCAAAGTAGCAATATAAAAGTAAAGCTTATACTATAATGCCATGCAGGCTTATCCCTGCGACTTAAAATCTAAATAGTTTCGGTATTTTAGAGCCTGTATCTTAAAATGATACCTTAACCGGAACCAGAACTGAAACCTTACCCAAAAAATAAAACCTATTTTTACAAACTAAACAAAGAACCGTGCGGAAGTTTTGAACCGGTTTTCAATTCCTGTTATTCAGTAAATAAAATTATAATGACGTATTTTAAGTCTGGGAATAGAAGTAACTCTGAATCAAGGCTATGGGTAGGATATACATATTATATGATAATAACAAGGTGTCATAAAAATTCTTTTTAACATTCTTGCTAATAACATGTATTTTTTTTAAGTATGTGATGATTGGTGCGGTGAACTCAACTCTGCTCTGGATTTTCTCGCTGGGGAAAGAGGACCACATCCAGACGATTTTGTTCCTTACTTACAGTACATACCAGAGTCACAGGTCAGTTTTATACACTATATTAACTTAAGCCTTTTAAAACTATAAATAATTTATTTACTATTAATATAAACAACATACCGTTAATAACCTTTTGGTTTTTGGTATGTAAGGTGTCAGGAGAACCATTGTCATCCAAACCATAGTTTACAACAGAAATGATGTTGAATGGTAATTTAATATGGAGGAAACGCGTCTGACACAGAAACTATATTTGTGTTGCAGAAAAGCGCAATCTATAAAAAACATTAAGTCACGACAAACATTTAAAGAAATAAATATATTAACTTTGGCCTCTCAATATATTTAGTAAAATGTAAAAAAGGGAAAAAAAATTTTTTTTTATACATTCTGTAAATACAAGGAACAAAGATTAACTTTGGCCTCTCAATATATTTAATAAAATGTGTGTAAACAAAGAAAAGTAATTTTTAAAAAAATTATATACAATCTATAAATACAAGGAACAAATATTAACTTTGACCTCTCAATATATTTAATAATATGTGTGTAAACAAAGAAAAGTAATAAAAAAAGTGATATACAATCTGTAAATACAAGGAACACATATTAACTTTGGCCTCGCAATATATTTACTAAAATGTGTGTAAACAAAGAAAAGTAATTTAAAAAAAAGTGATATACAATCTGTAAATACAAGGAACAAATATTAGCTTTGGCCTCTCAATATATTTACTAAAATGTGTGCATTTAAAAAAGTGATAATCTGTTGTCAATAGTTGTCCTTATTATATTCATAGTCTCTAAACTGATAGTGCTGCTGGTTGCGAGAATAGTCTTACTATTTCTGAAATGTTGTAAGTTCCTCATCGCCCCTGTGAATAGTCACTTGGCTAATCTTTCGTACAGGATTTTTCTCGGCCTCACCTAAAAAAATCTTTAATTAATCCGGTTTATAAAAGTGGTAAAAGAGACAATGTCAACAACTATATGTCTATCTCAGTCCTTACATCTGTTTTAAAAATTTTAGAAAAACAAACATTCGACTCAAAGTATTTAACTAAATATAACAAACTATTAAAATTATATTTGAATTTAGACAAAAAAAATCTACTGAAGCTGCGGTATTAGCCCTTACTTCTTTAATAATTGAAAATATTGATCATGGAAAAAATGTATTACACTTTTTCTTGATTTAAAAAAAGGCATTTGACACAGTCTCTCTTCCCACTCTAGTGGCTAAACTAAAACATATCGGCATTCGAGAAAATTCACTTGAATTGCTGAGTGGCTATTTGCAGGGACGTACCCAGAAGGTAAAAATTGGAGACTACTAAAGCCAAGACTTCGACATTACTTACGGCGTACCACAGGGGAGTGTTTTGGGCCCTACTTTATTTTTCATATATATAAATCAGCTCACAGAATTGAATATTGAGGGTGGCCAAGTCTTTTCGTATGCTGATGGCACTGCTATTCTGTTTACTGGTAGTACTTGGCAATGTGTATTTGAGAAGGCTGAAAAAGATCTTTCTAAGGTCTAGATGGCTTTGACATAATCTACGAACACTAAATGTTAATAAAACTAACTATATGTGCTTCAATCATCATCTTAAAAAATTAAATTATCACAGCACAGAAAACATCCTACGTCAAGTAATTAAATAGTATATCCATCAAATATATATTTGTTTATTAGAATAGAATAGAAATGACACAGGTATTCTTTTATAGGAGGCTCCAATTACTTTATTATTTAGTATGCCTTGAGAAAGAAAGAAATAAATTTTAATTTTAATTAATCTGTATATATATATATATATATATATATATATATATATATATATATATATATATATATATATATACACAGATTAATATATTAAGTAATATATTTACTAAAATGTGTGTGATAAAAAAGGTATTTTTACAATGTGTAAATACTTGGAACAAATATTAACTTTACTAAAATTAGTGTAATTAAAAAAAGTATTATACAATTTAAACATAGTGATTATATTCTCTTTGATACAATCTGTAAATACCAGGAACAAATCCAAGCTAGTAATACCAGTTACAACCAGCACCACCGAGACAGTTATTCATTCATGAATAGAATAGAATAGAATAATTTTATATTCAATATAGATCACATGTGTAATTCTTATTGAAAGTCATTTTTTACTTTACCACTGGTTCGAAAAAAAAACCTCTGTCCTGGGAAGAACCAGCAAGAAATCCAGCGGGACTTTTTTTTTAAAGCAAATTTTACAATAATGGTTGTACAAACTATATACATGGAAGAATGTACACACATTCACAACAAAATCCTAGAAAATATATACAGCTTTTCTAGTGCCAAATTCTACAAGGATTATATAAAAACGGTTATCATAATAATATATGTATGAGAACCCTTTGGGAATGAGATGATTGCTACCAAGCTTATTCTAAAGGTCTGATTAATCATACAACATATCACATAATACACATAATACTTGATTGTAAACTGTCTTAGTATGAGATATTTTTCGAACCAGTGGGAAATTCAAAAAATATTTCTATTTAAAGAATAGTTTTATATCCCCTTTTATAAATAAAACAAAAGATTTGTGATGAAAAACAAAATTTTTAAATATAGGAACTGTTTAATAATAAATCTTATAAAGGTTTAATCTTAACATTTCAGTTTTAATATAAATATTGGTAAATATTTTATTAATTGTTTCAGATGTACCAATGGATCGGTGCAGGGCGGGATTGCGACGCGATCTTGGGTCGACTGTGTGAACGCTGGTTGCGGGCGGTTTCACCTACACCCTCTGCCACAGAACTACCACCACCAAGGTAATTAAGTAGATTAATTAATAATTAAGTAGATTAATGAATAATTAGTATGTGTAGTTTTTCGTCGTATCGTGATATATGAATAAATCCGTTAAGTATTTTCACTATTAATTAAAATTCAATAATTATAACTGATTTCTTTTTCATAAATTTTGATATAAGGTGCAAGTTAAAGATGTAAGATTTCGCAACGAAATTTATTATAGTTACTTTTGGAAGCAACTTAATCTTTATAGACTCACTAATAATATAATAATAGCAATGAATTGCAACGCTAAGGGCCACGGGTTCGAATCCCTTCGAACTTCCATATTGTAAAAATTCACAAAAGAACTATCGTAATCAAAGTGGAAGATGAAGGTACAGAAATACTAATTTTTCTTCATTTTCAGCCAGTAATTTACTCCTTTTCTTCTCGTGACAATCCTAGCTTTAGAGAATAGACGCTGAAAAATAAACACTATTTCCGTCCCGGCATAATACTTTTGCCTAATTCGGCTATTCGGCTAGAAAATCGCAGAATATTCGGTATTCGGCGTGTGACCGAAATACTATTCGTTGCAAGTCTAATTTTTAGATAAGTTGAGTTAATAAACTTGTTTCGCTTTTTCTAATTTAATTTTCAAATAAGGCAAAAAGAGAAACACATTGAAAGATATTGCGTGTAATTTATGCGTGAAACTTTAATGACAAGTGGTCATATTTGGTCTCTTTATACTACTCCATATGTGAGAGTCAGTACACTCATCGTATCTTCTGATTTATATGGAAAATAACATCCCTATTGTAGTAGTATTAAGTGTGAAGTTATTTCACATGACATAACTTCTTTAATCTGTAGTGATTTCGTTCGCAATGTTAGCGACAATTGCATTCGATATACTTGTTTTTGTCTTACAGTCTAAAAATATAAAAAAATAAGACTAGACTTATTATTATTCGGGAAATAAAACAAGTGGTACGATGATTACATTGCAAATATTGGTGTCGCAAATTTTAAAAACTAATAGTTAGTGAGGTATGAATACTAAGTATTGACAGACACACGGTACATAAACGAGTTGGAACGCATTTGTAATCTCAATTTTATATGCTGATTTACCAAATGCCATATAATGGCGGCGTAAAAGAATTCAGTACCTCCTACCAAAGAATATACTATATTATTACTTATAAGCTCTAAGACCCCATAGCATCCCATGAGTATCGTAAAAGACGATAGAGGCAAATGAAACGAATGATTCTTGATAACGACTCAAAATAATAAAAAAGATGCAGTTGCCAACCCACTAGCTAGCATAATGCTACGGCCACGCGACCTTACCGTCTACCGCCCGTTTACCGCAATAATTATGGCATTAAATTAATGTTTAAATTTCCGCGTGTAGTAGTGTGATTACACTAGAGTTTAACTAGATATGACAATGAACTAGGTGGAAGAAACGTCATTTTTCAAGATGAAGGTTGAAGCTGCTTCGGTGTTGTACTTTATGAGTATTATATATATATATAATACTCTATATACTAGCTGGCCAGGCAGACGTTGTTCTGCCCTTGCCGACGATCCTTCATATAAAAATCCTTAAATTCGTAATAAAAAATATTGAGTGTCACTTATCAGGATAAAAACTATCCTATCTCTCAAGTTGGACAAAAATGCACACAGTGTGCAAAATTTTATTGAAATCAGTTCAGTAGTTTAGTCCATCGCGGACAAACAACGTGACACGTAATTTTTATATATAAAGATATCATCATCATCATCATTACAGCCTTTCATAAGTCCACTGCTGAACATAGGCCTCCCCCAAGGAATGCCACAAAGCACGGTCCTGAGCCACCTGCATCCATCGACTTCCTGCATGTCTTACCAGGTCGTCAGTCCATCTCAATAATCTCAATAAAATTAAAGATATATATATATATATATATATATATATATATATATATATATATATATATATATATATATATATTTATACACGTAGACGGTAATAAAATAACATTATCATAATCATTTGAAGTACGACATTTATTTTAATAAGGCATAAGGAATGTCGCAATTGTGCCTAAAAATCCCAGAAATAAAATTCGTTCGAATACAGCAGTGTACTTAACGAACGCAGGTATATACATAGGTAAGAACTGATTGATTTATTTTTAAACATTTTTTAACTCATATATTTATTTATTTCATAAAGGATACATAATTCTAACAATTTATGAATTATCATCAAATAATTCCGCATTTGAATCTTCAATCTCATTAATCTCACTATCGTGGTCTGACACGTCAAGCTCAGATCTTTCAAATTGAGAATCTATAAAATAAATATGTTTTCTATGAAACAAAACAGTCCAATTTAACAACAGTATATTTTGTATAGCCACTCGAATTTATAACCATTTACCATTACATATTTTGAGATGCTCCAACATAGATAAGTTTAAAATACTATTGAAGCAATTTCTTGTTAACTGTTATATGACTCAGAATAACTAAATTCACTTGACTTATATAATATTATCTAAATATAAATAGACTTATCGCTATTATTTTGGATTATGTATCTGAAAATACTACAAACTACAAACTTTCTTTTGTACCCACTTAATTTTTTTAAATTTGTAGTTGCCTTTTACACGGGGAAGGAAATAGACTAAAGTATATGAACTAAACGCGACGCATAGGTAAAGGCGGAAACTCATAATATGAAGTAAACTCTCTTAATTTAGAGAAGCGCAATTTAGTAACGAAACTAATTCTAATAAAATTTTAGTTGTATAGTTCTTATAAATAACATTAAAATAAATTGTTCTGAGCACTCTTATCTATGGTACTGACTAAACGTAGTTATTATATACTCTTTAGTTCTGAGGAGTCCCTTCTAAATATTACCATGCTCGAGGGTTCTACAAAGGTGACTTTGGATTATCGCATGTACAGGTCCGGAAAGTGACAAATTAAGTTGTTTGACTTGTTGTATCTGTTCTAGTACGCAGTACATATTACTTCAATGATTACATGCTGTGTACACGTATATTTTCTTTGTAAGCATTTTTTTCTTTAAAATTACAACACTGCGCCGCCACCAAGCTGTCAAAATTTTAAATGAAAAAGAATAAATAAAAATATTAAAAAAAAAGATTTTATTTGTATAAGTGTGTCACTTATACAAATAATTTATTTAATATTTAGGTTTATACCCATCTATTTCCCCTTTATATCTCATAACTAATGTAGTTTCTTATTAAGCTTAAAATATCAGCATACCATCTTCAGTGCTAGACACTATATTGTTTTGGTCCATCGAGCTGCATAAACCTACCCCTCAGTTCTTGATCTTGTTAATTGTTTTTAGTGTATGAAGTATCTACCTTTTTAAAAACCTTTTTGATACCAGTTATAATTATTGAACGGCATAGTCGGGAAGGGTCGCTCTAGGCGAAAGTTTATCGACCAAATTGGCGATATATTAAAAATGGGCCAAATCAAGAGTACCTTTAACCGACGAGCGTGTATGCGTAGGTATATGGATGTGGAGGAAGCGAGAGAGGTGTGTCAGGATCGTGCCAAATGAAAGTCCATAATCTCTGCCTACCCCTCTGGGTAACAGGCGTGAGTGTTTATGTATGTATGTTATGTATTATAATTATTGAGTAATATTTATCGACATATTGTTATTAGTTACAACAAACTCCGTTTATTTCTCCGACAGATGACAGAACTACCATTTCAAAAATAAAAAAATTACCGTTAAAGGAGAGTAACGCCAAAAATATGGCACATCTGGTTCACCTGTTAAGTAGGCCGATTAAAATAAATTCTTTTTACTGACTTACGAGATAAATTCTCATAATGGTAATATGTTGACATAAAAAAAAATTCACAATAATATTATAGAAATTTTCCAACTACATCAATCATTTTTTTTCAGATTTCCAACATCGTGGACGGTACGGTCTCCGACGGCGGCGGAGATAGCAGACTTTCGAGCACAGGAGAGGCGCAGATTTGCCTCCGCTGCGAAACCTTTTACTTACGTACAGTATGGGTATGTTGTCTACATTTTTATGTAATTCCATAAATATATATGAAGTCGTAGGCTGCAAAGCCGGGTGGGGCATTTGAACTGTGAAACAGCAAACATTTATTATATGCAGGTGGTGAGGGTCAAAAATTTGAGACCATTTGTAAAAAACATATTTGACTGACATTTAAGGTAACAAACGTAAGAAAATCCCTATGCGTGCAATAAAATGAAAATAAAATTAATTTTTTTTAAAGAATAAGGGTGATAAACGAGCACACAGTCCACCTTATGGTAAGTGGATGCTGTGGCCCATAGACATCTACATTTATCCTCAATTAAGAATCGAAATGCAGATGTGTCGCCACCCCTGAGGACTGAGATGGAATGCCTCGTTTCCAGTAAAAAGGGTCTCCGGTTCTCTACACTCACCATACGAAACACAGCAGCATTGAGCTGCTATTATGCGCTGCGCTGGTATTCTGTGCGAGCGTGGTCTTACCCCGGTCGAGCTAATCCATTCGTGCTGCAACCACAACATAGCTACAGTTTGGCTCTAGTACGTAAAAAGTATATTCAATAAATATTTAGTTTTATTAAATTTGTATTAAATGTATGTTGATTTTTAGTTTCATCATATCATTACAGCCCATTACATGTCTTCTGCTGAACATAGACCTCCAATCCATTGACTTCGTTATCTCTTATCTGGTCATCACTCGATATAGACAGAGGCCTTACACTTTGCTTACCGGTACGAGGCTGCCTGTCAGGAACCTTTGTTCCCCATGGACTCCGCCTTTCAGTTTACTGATCCTTTGTGCTATGTCGGTTATTCTGGTTCTACTGCCGATATTCTCATTATGAAGTCTTTCATTAAGAGAAACTCAGAGTATAAACCTCTCCATAGCTCGTTGAACAATCTTGAGATTCCTCATATGACCAGTGGTAAAGGACCTTGTCTCAGGTCCATGTTCATTTGACGACCTATTTGCTTGGAGACAGTATTGAGTTATTGAGAATAGTGTTAAGGTCCTCTAGCGCTTCTGGCATAATGATCATATCTTCAACAAATCGAATGAGTGATGCACTTCTGAAGGACTTTAAGTACCGGATTTCCGCTTTCAGAAGCTGCATTGCAATTGCATCCCCGCCTGGGGCCTTTCCCTTTTTAAGGTGCTGGAGAGCCATTTTAATCACGCTGAGATTGACATCCGGGATATCGTTGGTACGTTCTCCGATGTATTTTGTAATATCTATTGATGAGTGCAGCTTCATTTGCCGTATTTTTAGATTAAAAGTGTGATCGGAAAGTTTTTGGGTTCTTCTGTGACTAGTTTTGCAGAATTTAGCTCCGCACGTATGGACACTTTCTACGAGCTTGTCATTCATATTGTCCACTGTATTGCGATCTTCTATGTATTTGAAGTTTCTTGGGTTTTGGATTAGAGCACGAGGGGAGAGGAGCATTGACCTAATAGGATGTGATCTCTCCAACTTAACGTTTAAGTTCAGTGTGCTTTGCACCTTTCGGTGATCGCTATCGGTTTTTATCCTCGAGACAGAACGGAACAGATGACGTGTGCCGATGTGGTCGTCAATGAAGACAACCTTGTTTTTTGTCGAACAGTCTATCATTAACGCAGCATAATGGATTTTGGAGGAATGTATGGCTCTAGAGATATTTTTATACAGCTCTTCCATCTCCTCATCCGGAAGTGCCAACGAATGTTGAATTGTCGAAGTCCCACCGAACTTTGACCGAAGAATCTTTCCACTAACTGCCACGAAGCCACCATAGCGGGACTGCCGGGGACTGGGGTCGTTTCTTTCTGTCGCTGCTCATGAGGGTTCCTTGTCATAGATGCCACCCTTGGTAGACGGGTTAGCGGGTTCTTTTATATAGTTTAATATTTCCTCTCATTCGAAAGTGGTGCCGCCCTGGTGGCAGAAAAACTATGTGAACGTAAAACACGTGGAAGCCTAGCATTGAGAATGGTGTGTGCAGGTACCGGGCGGTGGTGGGGCCGATAACGCGCGTGGGAGGCGGGTGCGGGGCGGGGGCGGGTGCGGGGGGCGCGCTGCTGTGCGCGCAGCGGCCGCGCGCCGCCAGCCTGGCCGCGCTGCTGCGCGACGCGCTGGCGCGCCTGCCCAATGGAGAGGGCACTCGCGCGGACCTCGTCACGCTGCTCAAGTAACTCTCCTTATTTGACATTTTTGTTTTAAATATGTATCTCCGCCGAATCTAAGAAATACCTTTTGACAGCTGTCACATTTATTGGACTAGGCATTCCAACTGAAAAATCGGTACCTACAACCTACAATATTCAATTCTTAAGAGAAATCAATATCGATTCTTAAGAGTTGATAATCATTTATAGTTTTATCTAGATTATTGTAAATAGAACTCCCTTTGTCTATTCCCACCCTACCTATGCTTGCTCCAATATTGAGCGCACTTGGACGTTATTCGTCACAACCATACCACTCTGGAGCTCTATAGTGATTGAACGAATGCAATATTAGAATTGATTCCTATTGAATTTATTTTATTATTACTATTTGTACAGTTAAGTATATTTTTTTTAATTTAGGATGTCTCAGTGGATTGCTCCATGTACTGATCAAGCATTGTCAAGTGCTATATCGTCTACATTAGAGAAGCTGCTTACAGTGAAACGAGATCCCATCGTTAAGTACGACCAAAGGACTGCTATTTGGACATATTTACATAGAAATAGGTACGTTTTATTAGTATATTTATAAATATAAAAAATATGGTACCATTATTGAATGGTTGTTTCAGATGAGAAATAGTATCAAAGCATATTTTTTAAATAGTATTTCGTCTAGAATCTTGCTTATATATTTTAGTCACGATGTTTTCATTCTTTGCCGAGACCTTAAAATTTTAAACACCATAAAATTCGCAAATTAACAATATAATGATTAAACTTTTTAGTGCTAGCAGCAATCCCACTCGGCTTGCTCGCATATTTAACAGTGGCAGAGCCACGCGGCAGCTTTTGCTGTCGCACGGATGGGCCGACTCGAACCGGGGTGGTACCACGACCTCACAGAAAACCAGCGTGAAGTAGAGATTTACCTCTGCGTTTCGCTTGGTTAGTGCAGGTGGCCGGAGGCCCTTTTTACTGGAAATGAGGCATTCCATCCTCACGGGTGACAATGCATCTACATTTTGATTTGTAATAGAGGATAGATGTAGATGTCTATGGGCCGCAGCAACCACTTACCATCAGGTGGACTGTGTGCTCCTTAGTCACCCTTATTCTATAAAAAAAAATATGAAATTTGAGCACGCCAGTATTTACACACGTTCAGATTTGGGTTGTTAATGAAATAAACTTAATGAAAAAGTAAACTATAAAATATCTGATACTACTGACTACTGACAATACTATTTTATTTGCACGATATATACGAATGCTTATTATAGCGTGTATGATTTTTTTAAATTTGTTACAGAAGTGAAGAGGACTGGATGAAAAGCAGCGGTGCTCGGAGTCGTGGCGGTAAGACACTTCCCACAGCACCGGCCCAAATATCACCTCATACTTCTGTAAGTTGATTTTTACATACAACTATGATTTATATTTTTCGCTATTAACTTGTAATATAATATAATACAGGCCAATGTTCAGTAGTGGACTTGTAAAGGGCTGTAAAGATGATGAACTTGTGACAAGTGTTCTATTATGTTTAACATGTAGTGGCGGCATAAGAATATCCACTATCACATCGATATGTGACAGTGGACACCCACGAGACGATTCCCGTGGGTGTCGTGAGACAAAGGGAAACAAACTAGGAGATGACAAAAATAAGTGATATTCATTCTGTAAATACTAGGAACAGACACAAGCTAGTAGTACCAATTACTCGACTCCATCGAGTTAGTAATTCATTCTTGGGGCGATGTATACGCTTTTACAACAAAATTCCAGAAAATATACTAAGTTTGACCTGCTCAAAATTCAAAAACTTTATTAAACTAAGTTTGTATAAAAAGGGTTATTATAATATTGTTGCGCGCCACTATTAATGTCTTTTATATGGCAACACTAGTTACACTAGCGCCCTCTAGTGTCGAATAGCAGAACTAGGAGAGTCAAGATCCTTCCAGAAATTTTGGGACCGATATGTACTCGAACATTCTAGATGTCGCTACAGTAGAAGATTCTGGAAACTATCTGAGGCCCTGTATAAGGCCAGTATAGACCACGACCGAGGCAGTATTGAATTGGCGATACAAGAGAATACTTCGAAGCGAAACAACTGCGAACTTAAGTGATCAGTAGAATTATTGTGTTTTATTATTAGTGTGTTTTAAGGTGTAATTAGTATCCGTAATTAAAGTGTCAATTTTGGTAATTCAATCGGCAGTTTTTAATTGTCTCGAACCTCAAGCTCGTAACAATATTAAGGAATTTATGGATGATAATAACCCCTGGAAATGAGGTGATCGCTACCAAGCTATTTCTAATTTGTTGTGTTGTTAATTTGTGTAACATCATGATTGTAAGCTGTTATTTAAAAAAAAGGTCCCGCTGGGTTTCTTGCTGGTTCTTCCCAGGACAGAGGTTTTTTTTTCGAACCAGTGGTAATCAAACAAAAGAGTGACTTTCAATAAGTATTATTTATAATCTATATTGAATAATAAAGTTTCTGTTTATGTTTCCGTTTCTGCTGAGCAGCTGCGTCTTTTTAATAATAATAATATCTAAAAATAATAAACTGCGCTTGACAACTCGCCTGCCAATTGTGGCAACTATGTCAAATTCTCCATATATGAGGCTGTCTATTTTGGAGGCCTATGTTCAGTAGTGGACTGTTGTGAGGCTATTATGGTTCTGTTATGTGATGATACTTGGTCGCTTTCATTTCTTTTTCGTATTTATTATCTTAATCACGGCATTATTTTATTTAATATATTTATTTCTTCTTCTTCATCAACTCGCAGAAGTCCATTGCTGTACATGAACCTGTTCCATTAAATATGCCTAAATATTTGCGTTATTTTATTTATAGGCATATAATTTATTTATTTCATTAATAAAATAATAATAGCACCTTCTATTTGTGACCTGTATGAAACCATTCCAGATGGAAATGGAGGTTGGTAGCGTTGAGGAAGTGGTAGAAAACGCTTCCGACAGTGACGTAGACGTTGACGACAGTGGCGTATCTTCGTCCGTTCCCCATCTATCTTCAGCTCAACTTCTCATGCAAGCAACACAAGCCACTCAAGTGAAGCAGCTACAGCCGACCGGACACAATAAGCCCAAAGGAAAGCTTGTGCCCACACCGACAACGAAACCCAAAACCGCACAAACAAAACAGTCACCACAAGTAACCAAACATTCAAACCTAATTCAATCCGTAAAACAGACAATAATATCGCAATCTGGAAAACAGAATGCTCAGTCATCAACTGTAATGAGTGCAACGAAAATAATTGGTCAACCTCCAAAAGCAAATGTGACACAAAAGCAAAATACCACCAATGTTGCACAAGCCAAACAAAACGTTGTTAAGCAAGCAAGCGTTATTTCGAAGCAAGTGCCTTTAGCGAAGCAATCTCCGAAGCAAGCTCAAGCGAAAAGTGTCATGGTTGAAACGGCTAAGTCTGGTGTTGGTCAAATGAAACAAATGAATGAAATGGTCGCCAAGACTTTGCCATCGGTAGTTGTAACGCCTCAGAAGCCACCGCTTGTTAAGCCGAAAGTAGCACAGAAGATTGAAGTAACACAGAGCTTGGTAAGTGGATTTTTATTCCAAGTGTTTGGTAGTCGAAGGTATTTTGCTGGTCCTTATAATATTTGATCTTGAGATATTTAGGCTGTAATGAATGAAATCAACACAACTCTTGCACATAAACACATATTATTGGTTTTTGGTATCCGGTTGTGTTGTCACCAGTCTCTGACACTAATGATCTTATTCTTATGACTTCTGATCTTTGGTCACTTACGATACTATCAGAGAAACCTTTGTTTAAACGCACACTTCGTATTGTCAACCTTTCTTTAAGTCCACCAGCTGGACCAAATGACTCTACAAGATGTGTTTGCAACCATGCATTTCTTGAAAGTTAAGTTAGATAATGCTGCCCCTTGTCAGTTTATGGGATTATGTTTGCCATTTTTGGACTCAATTTCTGTAATCAGTATGTCATTAAAAACCATTTGCAAATAAGTTCGCAGATAAAATTCCCTTTGCATCCCAAGTGTACATTCACTTAGGGCAAAAAAGTCTACCTCAATTTGGTGCACTGTTATTATGATTATAAAAATATATTGTTTCAGATATCTTCGAGTTTGTCTAATCAGAATTCAACAGTCGTGTCAGTTGTTCAACCGCACACTCAGCAATCAGCTGCATCCGTGCAACAAAGTCAAGCTAAGGTAGTTTTATTATTCACCAAAAGTGTTAGAACATGATGAAAATGTCCTTGTCTTTGCAACTATTTCTAAGTAAGTGTTTGCTAAACAATTGCAGTTAACGCAGGTGACCCGATCTCTACTGATTAGGCCGTCCGCGGTACAGTCGACTTCTGCAGGAACCGCCATAACTGTCTGCACTCCGTCCACACAGGTATGTAACTAACTTATAAGAATGAATGATATCATATTCTAAGAGGATTAAAAAAATATGACAGAAATTTAAATTATTAGTATTGTTTATGACTAGGACTATGACTAAACGTTCTTGAAACAAAAAAAAATCTACATAATTTTTGAAGAGATAACATTTTGTGCAGACAACAACAAGTACCGCGCGACGAGGTGTTGTTAGAGTGTTGAGTCCAGCCACTCCGTCATCGGGTAAATCACTCATATCGCCGCAAGCCTTGATGCAGCAAAGTAAGTTTTCTATATAACATTAAGTTGTTCGATAATATATTCTTTTTCATTTCCTCTAAGAATACTTTAAATTGGTGTAAAACAGAAGGTAAAGGTGAAAGGCACCTTCTTGCATCTTTTTATTTACTAATTATTGTTGTTACTTGTGGATTGAGTAAAAGGTCGATTAGGATAAAGATATAAGGTTGCTTTTGCAATTGCAAGCGTTATCTATTTTTTATCCCTTATCGTCGGGAACGTTCTCGTACAATGTGACGTAATACGCAGCTGGCTGTCGTAACATGTGGTAGAGCCTTGCAGCAGTTTTTGCTGTTGCACGTATGGGCCGGCTCGAGCCGGGTTAGTACCACGACCTCATAGAATACCGGCGTGAAGTGGAAGCTCTGCTTCCGCGTTTCGTCTGGTGAGTGCAGGTGACCGGATGCCCAATCCCCCCCCCCCCCATCAACATGGTAGCGGAATTACGTCATAAACTACCCCAGGAGGGTACCAGTACCCCTGGAGAATCCCTCGCTGAGCATCCACGACCATGCTATTCCACTCCTGAGCGTGGGTGCTCAGGCTGCCCCGCGTATTCTGGGGGGGGGCAAAATTCCGCTCAACACAATAACTGCTCGGGGCAAACTGAGCAACAAGACCAAGGCGACCCCTGCCACGCTATCCGTGAATTTCTGCAATATCAGGGGACTTCACTCGAACCTAAACGCCGTCCACTACCATCTTGAGACGGCGAAGCCGGCCTTGCTCTTTCTGACCGAGACGCAGGTGTCCTCTCCGGCTGATACTTCGTATCTCTCCTACCCGGGGTACAAATTGGAGCACTCCTTTGTGCCTCGGGCTGGAGTTTGCGTGTATGTCAGAGAGGACATCTGTTCTCGACGCCTCGGCAGTCTTGAAGGTTCGGACCTGTCCATCCTTTCGCTACGCGTAGACAGCGACAACCATCCGCGCGTCTACGTGTGCCTCTATAGGTCCCATAGCGGTAATGCCGAAACAGACCGACTCATCGACCACGTCCAAATGGCTACAGATTCCTTGCTACAACAGGTCCCATCCGCAGAGATCGTGATCCTTGGCGATTTTAACGCCCACCACGCCGAATGGCTCGGTTCACGTTTAACCGATCATGCGGGGAGATCTGTTTATGACTTTGCCTTGGCATATGGTCTGACACAACTGGTTACATCGCCTACGCGGATTCCAGATGTTGAGGATCATACACCTTCCCTGTTGGACCTTCTGCTGACCTCTCATCCGGACGGATATCAGGTCTCCGTCGATGCCCCTCTGGGCTCTTCGGACCATTGTCTGATCCGGAGTGTGGTGCCACTCACGCTCCCCTCGCGGTTGCGTTCTGCAGGTTGCCGCCGTGTTTGGCATTACAGGTCGGCGGATTGGGACGGAATGCGGTCTTTCTTTGCTTCCTACCCATGGGGGCGGGTTTGCTTCTCGCCGGATGATCCCAGCGCTGTTGCTGACTCTGTCACTGATGTAGTGCTACAGGGAATGGAACTACTTATTCCATCATCTGTGGTACCCATCGGAGGCAGATCTCAGCCTTGGTTTGGTCGCTCCTGTAAGACTGCATTACGCAGTAAGCAGGAGTGTTATCAAGCCTGGGCTGCGGCTTCGGTGACTCGGGATGTAAACACCAGCACACTCAAAAAGAAGTATAACTTCGCCTCCAGGTCCTTCAAAAGAGTTATTGCCAAGGCAAAGTCAGAGCACATAGGCAGAATTGGCGAGAAACTAGTTCGCCTTCCTTCGGGAACCCGTGCATTCTGGTCTCTCGCCAAGGCTGTCCAAGGGAATTTCTGTAAGCCATCACTACCATCTCTGCACAGGGAGGATGACTCACTGGCCCACGACGCAAAAGAGAAGGCCGACCTTTTAGGCTCCCTTTTTGCGTCCAACTCGACTGTTGATGACGGGGGGAACACACCGCCGACCATCCCGCGGTGTGAGTGCTCCATGCCGGATGTGCGATTCTCACAGCGCTCGGTTCGCAGAGCACTCCTCTCCCTTGACATCCACAAGTCGAGTGGGCCTGACGGAATCCCCCCAATTGTGCTGAGGACGTGTGCTCCGGAGTTGGCACCGGTTCTAACGCGTCTTTTCCGGTACTCCTACTCCCTAGGCGTAGTCCCGAAATCATGGAAGACAGCTTTTGTCCACCCGATCCCTAAAAAAGGCGACCGCTCAGATCCGTCCAACTACAGGCCTATCGCCATCACCCCCTTGTTATCCAAAATAATGGAATCCGTTGTAAACTGCCACCTCATGCGGTACCTTGAGGATCACCAGCTGATTAGTGACCGCCAGTACGGTTTTCGTCGGGGTCGATCAGCTGGTGATCTTCTGGTCTACTTAACTCATAGATGGGCGTTGGCAGTGGAGTCCAAGGGGGAGGCATTGGCCGTTAGTTTGGACATTGCGAAGGCCTTCGATCGGGTTTGGCACAAAGCGCTTCTTTCGAAGCTCCCTTCCTATGGGCTTCCCGAGAAATTATGCAATTGGATCACCAGCTTTCTTGCAGATCGGAGCATCAAGGTCGTTGTAGACGGTGCATGCTCCGACTACAAGCCTATTAACGCTGGTGTTCCACAAGGCTGCGTGCTATCACCAACGCTGTTTCTTCTGCATATCAATGATATGTTGCAAGCTGGTAGCATTCATTGCTATGCAGATGACAGCACTGGTGATGCTCTATACACCGGCCGTGCCAATATTTCTCGGGAAAACGTCACCGAGTACCGGAACAAACTTGTGTCTGAAGTCGAGTCTTTGCTGGACAAAGTCTCGGATTGGGGGCGACTAAATCTAGTCCAGTTTAATCCTCAGAAGACACAAGTTTGCGCGTTTACCGCTAAAAAGAACCCCTTTGTCGTATCTCCTCAGTTTCAAGGTACTCCCCTTGTTGCCTCAGCCAGTATCGGAATCCTCGGCGTCGACATATCGAGTAGCGTGCAGTTTCGTAGTCACTTGGAAGAGAAGGCCAAATTGGCCTCTAAAAAGCTTGGCGTGCTCAGCAGAGCGGGACAGTATTTCATGCCGGCTCAACGCCTGCAACTTTACAAGGCGCAGGTTCGGCCTCACATGGAATACTGTTCCCATCTCTGGGCTGGGGCTCCCCAGTGCCAGCTTCTTCCACTTGACCGCATCCAGCGCAGAGCGGCTCGAATCGTCGACGACCGAGTCCTTTCCGATCGGCTCGACTCATTGGCACTGCGAAGAGATGTTGCATCTCTTAGCATTTTCTTTCGCATTTACCATGGGGAGTGCTCTGAGGAATTGTTCGGATTAATCCCAGCCGCCAAATTTCACGAACGCACATCGCGGCAGAACTCCCGATACCATCCACACCATCTGGATGATTGGCGGTCCACCACTGTGCGATTTAGAAGATGTTTTCTTCCTCGCACAACTTCCTTGTGGAATAGTTTACCACCAGCGATTTTTCCGGACCGATACGACTTAGGGACCTTCAAGAAAAGAGCCTACTCCTTTTTAAAAGGCCGGCAACGCATCTGCAATTCCCCTGGTGTTGCGGTTGTTCATGGGCGGCGGTAGTCACTTACCATCAGGTGAGCCGCATGCTCGTTTGCCCCCTCTCCTATAAAAAAAAAAAAAAAATATTATAACGGGGTACAACAGTAGTGTTCGAATTTTTTTATTAATTTATTTCATTCACTCTCACACATATTGTTTGTTTAAATTTATTTTAGACTTCACCAGAAGTACTCTAAATATCAGCTAAATTGGTCAACTAAATCGGAGATCATAAGTCCACTGCCGAACTGAGGCCTCCCCCAAAGAATGCCACAAAGAATGGTCGTGAGCGACCTGCATCGATCGACTTCCTGCATACGAGGTCGTCACTACATGTAGCGGGGATCGGAAATAAATGGTTACATTAAAAAAAAAAAACGTACGGTCAGTTTGACTATATTTAAGTTGATAAGAATATATGTATCTCTATAATATAATATAGTGTAAAGTAAAGCTGCTAATTTATCAAGTGCCCTCGCAAACTGTATCCTTTACAATGAAAAGTTGAGAAGGGCAGAAAATGTTTTTAACTGAAAATGGGGCTTTCTATTGTTGTGGCTATGTTTGGTTGTAATAAGTGTGCAGCATACTATTAGTCCAGGTTAAACAAATTGTCACCAAATCCGCGTTCCCTAGTGGTCAGAGTATCTGGTTATAACGCCGTGTTCCTGAGCTTAATACTAGCCTGAGTAGACATTGGTGCAAAAATTGTGTTATTAACGATTTATCTTGGTTATAGGCGCGCCAACAACAAAGAAACGGACAATAGTGACGAGTACGACATCTGCAACGACAGTAGCTCAGGTATTTCTTATTGATTACTATGTTTAGTTTTTTGTCTTTGTGAACCCACTCCTCTAAAAGCTCCGGTGGATCTTGGAAGGCTATCTTGTTTCTTTAGTCCAATTAGTGGGTTCTTAGAGATAGATATGTCCCAAGCTCGACCACGTTACTAAAAATATGCTTGGCTGTATAGTATGTCAGTCCCATAAACACTGTGTGTTATAACCAAAGATAATATAGTCACTATGTTTAAGAGGCGGGACTTCCGTAGTAAAAGTAAATGTATGACAGTACGCCAAGCTACTCTACCAACATCAAAATATGACATTTAGATTTTGACAAACAGTGCCGGCAACATTGACGAATTACAATGGTGCTGTAAATGTATATTCGAATAATGTTTATCGATATTTTTACATAATAAAAGTTAGATCTCTATACTGAATTATTATTGAGAAATATTTTTTTTTTATGTGGGGATTGAGTAAAAATGCCGATGACGATAAGAAATCAATGTATTTTACACACAGCAATTTGTAATTATATTTCTACAATTATTAGATACAAAAATATGTATAAAGAAAATATAAAATAAAAAACGCACTATTATACTAGTAATTAATTAAGTGAAAAATAAATGACGACTCTGTAACGCAGTGGCTAAGCGTTTGGCTGCGGCATACCAGGACCGAGGCTTCGTTTCCACACTGAACAAGTGTTGCTATGTTGTAAAATAAATAATCTGCGTCTGGATGCTGTTTTCAACGTTAGTTTTTTTTAAAGGGTTAAAAATATTGGTTTTTTTAACACTGATTGGATTGTTTTTAAGTGCAACATATACTATGTACAAATCGCTAGGCTTCTTCACAGTGGTACCTATGTACATACTACTCACAGAGATCGTTTACTAATTGTCGTTTTCAAAATGAGTGCTCATTATAGCTAATGTTTGTAGATGAATCTATAATTTATTTTTATAACCAGGTAAACAAATAACTTTGAGTTTAGTTATATAATCGAATTCTTACCAAAATATGACTAGAGGGATATTACCTTTTGCTACATGTAGATGAAACCTAATTAACATACACATAAGTTTGAATTAAGTCCACTGATGAAATAACAGTTCGTTTTAGTTGGTTTCAAATGCAATGTATGCCACAAATATGTTTTAATATGTGCATCTTTTTTAATTGGTGCATGTGCCAGTTATTTCACCCAATGGTTGCACTGAAAAAATAATATAAATAAAATCACATTTTTATTGAATAAATAGAATGTTAGTAGTCACAATTCGACAATGTAATTTCTAAGTATAGTTCGTTTCGGATTGCCATCCCATCGAACTATCAGATTTAGGAAATAGTGTGTTTGTACACACAATCATACACTATAAAAACCTGTCCTACGTAGATGGCATGTTCAAAAATATATTCGCGTTAAATATCATATTACAATTAAAGTTGGAATCACCACATAACGTCATCTAAGAGAAATATTGCTACGAATAGCTTTTTCTTGTTATCATTTTTTCCGCTTTTTGCAGCATTTAATTGGAAAATTTTATAATGCATATTTAATTTTTTAACAATTCTGTAAACGAATAATGGCTCCTATAGCAAAATTAAACGCAATCTTAATAAATAAAATATATACAAATGTAATTGTTTGATTTGACATTTGAACCTATTTGATTTGACAATATTGTTAATAGAAATATTACGAAAAGTAGAAAGAAGAGATAACCGTCATTAAAATTTGACCCTTGTGGTACATATAATTTTTACTATGGAAGTTGCACCAGCTTGGTTATAACATACAGTGTTATTCATCTTTTAATTTTAATTTTAAACCCTTAAAGAGAATTTCCAACATTTTATGTACCTGATTATATCAGTAAGTGAAATCTAAGGGTACAAAACGCAAATTTAACAAGTCTAGTTCGAAGCCTACATTGGAATACTATTATAAACCACCCAACAATATTCTTAAGTAAAAAAAAGTAATAAAATCTATCCTATCAAAATTACAAAAGTTAAGACAAATGAAGGTAATAAATTCTTTTACCCTGATTTTACTTGACATTTTTTTAAATTTGTTTAATGATTTCATATTTCAGACATCGGCAAGTGCAACAACGGTAGTTAGCAGTGTCCCTACTGTTGTTTCGTCATCCGTTTCAACACGAACGGTCCAATTGGCCGGAGGAAGGACAGTTCAGTTAGCAACTAACCAAACGGTCCATTTACCAGGCGGTCAAGCCGTTCAGTTAACGCCGGGCCACTCTCTACAACTATCTTCATTACAGCTACCGACGCACAGCGTTCGTCTGCCCAGCGGTCAAACCGTCCAACTCGCTTCGCCGCAAACTGTCAGAGCTGTTTCCAACACTCAAGTCAAAAACCCAAGTCCAAGAACACAAACATCCTCTCCAACGATCAAAATGAACACCCAAACGAGTCAGCCGCTCCAAATACCGGTGTCCACAGTCCAACTTGCTGGACAAACCGTTCAAATCGCCGGTCAAACTGTTCAACTAGCTGGTCAAAGTGTGCAATTAACTGGACATACTGTAAAGCTACCTAGTGGACAAAGTGTGCAAGTGGCTAGTCAAAGTGTTCTTCCATCACAAAATGTACAAACAGTTCAATTAGCGAGTGGTAATATTCAAACTGTCCAATTAAGTGGTCAAAATGTGCAATTACCAAGTCAAAGTGTTCAAATGTCTAGTGGACAAAGTGTGATATCATCTCCAACTGTGCAGATTGGTGGTCAAACTGTACAGTTAGGCGGTGGTCAAACAGTACAGTTACCGAGTGGTCAGACGTTACAGTTACCTAGTGGACAAACAGTGCAGTTGTCTAGTGGTCAGACAATACAGTTAGCTAGTGGACAGACTTTACAACTCGCAAATCAACAGACGCCAAAGTCAATAGCTCAAGTTGTGAGAACGCAATCTACAGGTGATAAACCCTCCCAGCCAATTGTAGCAAAGTTGTTAACTAATGCACAGGTGAGTAAAAATTTGAATTTTTGTATAGATACTATTATATACATTTTTTATTGAAATCAACAGTCCACTACTGAACATAGGCCTCTCAAATAGACAACCTTATATATGGGGAATTTGACATAGTTACCACAACTGACAGGCAAGTTGTCAGGCGCAGTTTATTATTTTTAGATATTATTATTATAAAAAAGACGCAGCTGCGCATCTCCTAGTTTGTTTCCCTTTGTCTCACGACACCCACGGGACGATATGGGGTAGTGGATATTATTATGCCGCCACTACACGTTAAACACAATAGAACACTTGCCACAAGTTCATCATCTTTACATCTCTTTACAAATCCACTACTGAATATTGGTTTGTATTATATTATTAGTTAATAGCGGAAATTATAAAATCATAGTTGTATGTAAAAATCAACTTACAGAAGTATGAGGTGAATTGTGATCTTTCCAAGGCTTTCGAATGTGTTTATTATGAGATATTAATCAGGAAACTACAACATTACGGTGTCAAAAATTTTGTGCTTACACATATTATTTCATATTTAAATAACAGAACTCAAAAAGTCGTTATGAATGGTAAAGGTTCCTGAGGATCAGTAGTATCAATGGGCGTTTCTCAGGGCTCGATTCTTGGTCCATTCCTGTTCTTAGTTTATATTAACGACTTGTCTTGTAGGGGACAATCACGATATAGTATTATTTGCTGATGATACCTCTTTAATTTCCAAACTCAAACGACATTCAATTAATTTTGATAATGTAAGTAATGCTCTATCGAAATAAGTACATTGTTTTAACGCAAACAACTCTTAAACGGCAATAAGACAAAATGTGTTAAATTTACAATACCTAATGTTAAACATACAAATACCAATGTGCTCTTAAATGAGGAGGAGTTGAGTCTTGTGGATACCATTGTTTTTCTTGGTATTACTATTGACGCGAAGCTTCAATGAGACCCATATATCTAAATTAGTGTGCAGACTTAGTTCTGTAGCATATGCTGTAAGAAACATGTTTCTTTAGCCCCTATCTAGCTAATCTAGCTGTCTCACCAATGTTGAGACAGCTAGATTAGTTTATTTTGGTTACTTTCATAGCGTGATATCTTATGGTATTTTGCTATGGGGTAATACGACTGACATCGAATTTGTTTTGCAAAAGAGAGAGTCCCTTAGAGAAACAATTTAAAGAAATCAACATATTAACTTTGGCATCGCAATATATTTATGAAAATGTAATGTATGTACATAAAACATAAATAGCTTTGATAAGAATAAAGATGTTCATGCTTTAAACACTAGGAACAAACATAAGCTTGTAATACTAGTCTCCACAGAATTAGTAATTCATTTATGGGGCAATGTATACGCTTTTACAACAAAATCCCAGAAAATGTACAAAATTTGTCAATAAACAAGTTTAAATGTTTTATTAAAGAAAAATTGCACAAAAAGGGTTATTATAATATCAAAGAATACATAAATGAAAAAAACCCTTGAGAATGAGGTGATCGCCACCATGGTGGTTGTATTAAAATTCATTTAAAGTTCGTACAAACAAAATTATTGTAAAGTGAAATATGTTTTAAAAAAAGTCCCGCTGGGTGTTTTGCTGGTTCTTTGCAGGACAGAGGTATTTTCCGAACCAGTAGTGGTAGTACATAAAAAAATGACTTAATAAGTATTATGCAATAATAATATCAAATAAAAATTATTCTATTCTATTCTATGGTTTTCATAAAAGAAGTTTGAATTTTGATCGATCTGTAATATCTGTATATCATACTAAGTGTCTAGTAAATTAGGGGTGGGGGTGGGGTGGAAACCCGTAATACGGGTCTTTGAGCAGGTACCAGTGCCACGAATATTATTATAAAATGTTTTCATGTTGTTTTAAAAAGGGACAAATGATATCGCTGGAAGGCGTAGTAGGCGGTGGGCGAGCGTTGCAAGTGGCGAGCGTGGGCGCAGTGGGCGGCGTGCGCGGCCGCGGCGGCGTGCGCGTGCTGTCGCCCGGCACCAGGCTCACCCGCCCTCTCCTGCTTACTGCCGCTAAGCCCTTGCATAATATCATATTGCAGGTAAACATTGTATGCACTTTTTATTCTTAGCCACTGTTTCGCAAACTGCTGCTCTATCAAATAAAGGATAGCAATTACTTAAAAAGTAGTATGTATATGAAATATTGTAAATATTGTACACATAAACAATGAACTCTCCCTTCTTTTACGCTAACCAGAATGTGCTTTAAGTTGGGATGAACAATCCTTTTTTAACTTATTATAAGCAAGTGCTTTGCAACAATCCCACCTGGTGGTGTGGCGATGAAGCCCGAGATGGTAAATCGCACAGTCTTAGTGTAACAAAAGCCTATTTACTTTTACCTTGAAGATGCCCAGGTTGTATTCGGACGGAAAGACAGACGCCGGCAAATTATTCCTCTCCTTTGCCACAGTCTAACTACTACTAACTGTCTGTCATCGAAGGCATAGAAAGTTCCCGAGAGGCTGGTAGTAGCTCGGGAACTGTCTGCTAGGTTTGTCCTGTCACGCAAATAAATTAAAATGGTTCGACACTACATGTGCGGTAAAAAACTGTCGGTTATCCTCATTTAAAGATAAGTAATTATCAGTTTCCACATACACATTAATTTGTTTAAACGTGAAAAAAATTCAGTTTTTTTTTATTACTTCTCTTGATAACCCTAGCAATTTATTGTTTATGTCAGCTTTTCCGACAACATCAAACGTAATGACGCATTACGAAAGACGAAGCAGACTGCCCAATCAATCCAATAAACATTGAATTATTATATATTCGGAACAAAACAAAAATAAAAAAAAATTAATCTGGAGGTAGCCGTGGTAAACTAAGTCATTGGGACGTCAAACACCTCAGTCCTCCCCCATGTCCACGGGTGCTGTAAAGTACTCGAAACGTCGGGAATATAAAATAAGTTAATAAACGCGATAAAGTCCGTAAAACTAGTTTTATTTAAATGTGTAGTGTTCGCGTAAATATAAGAAATCATTTCGTTTGACAATTTTTATGTCCGATTATGAGGCACATATCTAGTAATTAAAAAAAAAATTACCGCTAGTATGCATAATATGTAACTGAGATTTTTGAAGTTAATGTTAATTTAATAGTAGAAGTTCCTTTCATAGTATATTATTATTGATAAACGTATTATAGTATTGATTAAAAAATATAAATAAATTAGTGCGTCTATTAAAATGGAGCGTCGTTTAAAATAAAATACTCTATGACACAAGGGGTAGTGACGAAAAAAACCTTACACTTTTTGTCGTCTCACTCCCATCCGCCAAACCCGTACGTCCGATAAGGAACTTCGTTCCAATAATAAAAACAAATTCAGTGTTATTTTCTCATAGTTAAAAATTTTATTGGTATCTTGCAAACGCGCGCAAGTTACGTTCTAGTGACCTGTCAACCTGTCACCCGCACCATGCTATAACGCAAAGACTAAGAACTTATAACTATTTTATAAATATAAATAAATTGACTTGCTATATGGTTTAAGAGGCTCGTTCAAAATTTATATTTTATCTTCTTACTAAAAGAAATTCTATTCTCTACTTAACTAATCATAATACTATTTTTTTAATTTCATGGAACTTTTTAAATTAGTGTATTATATTTGTAATGTTACGTTAGTATAAAGTTTTTTTTTTTTTTTTATAGAATAGGGGGCAAACGAGCTTGCGGCTCACCTGATGGTAAGTGACTACCGCCGCCCATGAACAACCGCAACACCAGGGGAATCGCAGATGCGTTGCCGGCCTTTTAGAAAGGTGTAAGCTCTTTTCTTGAAGGTTCTTAAGTCGTATCGGTTCGGAAAATTCGCTGGTGGTAATTGATTCCACAAAGAAGTTGTGCGAGGGAGAAAACTTCTTTACATAAAGTACATAAAATACCACTAAGGCCCCATCTAATTTAATGTGATGAATGACATTGCTATTTATTTTTAGTGTACACTACCATAATACCAAATATATTTAGAAATAATGTTAAGATTACTGACCGCCATAGGCAAAATAGGCAAATTATGCTTTCCTACTGTTTATGTAACATTTTTAAATAAATAAAACTAAAATATTTGTAATAAAAAATGAGTTTGTTCATTATTCCTTACACAGGAATTTGTATCAAAGATATCACGATAAAATGTTTTTGAACGTTCCAGCAAGGTGATGGCAGTGCAATTCGAGTGACATCTAGCGGCGGTGCCTCTACATCACAAACTTTAGTATTAAGCAATATTGGTAAGTTCTTAGCACTTAGTAAACTAATAAAATTAGACTACACGTGTCATTCTTCGAAACATTAGGATGAATCTTGGATCTGCCCTTAGTGCCATAATCTGGATAAGCAATAAATTTGCTTACACATTTAGTAACGTTTTAACGTCATTTACACGTGGGAGAGCCATGCTGCAGCTATATTATGGTTGTAGCACGAATGGGTCGGCTCGACCGGGGAGGGACCACGCTCTCACAGAAAACCAGCGTAAAATAGCAGCTTAACGCTGCTGTGTTTCGTATGGTGAGTGTAGAGAACCGGAGACCCTTTTTACTGGCAAAGAGGCATTCCATCTTAGTCCTCACGGGTGACAACGCATCTGCATCTTGAGTCTTTATTGAGGATAGATGTAGATGTCTATGGGTCACAGTAACCACTTACCATCAGGTGGACTGTGTGCTCGTTTGTCACCCGATCCTATAAAAAAAAACATGAGAATATATAATAATATTAATATTAATGTCCTCCAGTCCTAATTTCGGTCACGGCGGCCAATCTATACCGAGACTAGCAACCTGCGCATGACAGGATTTTAGTTGTAGTGCCTGAGTGTATGCGCATGCACAAGTACATTCCTATTCCCTCACTCTCATAGTCCGATGGGACGGTTATCCGTCACGACGGAAGATATATCAGGCGCAGGAGCAACAAAGAACAATGGCAGAAAAATAGTTGACAAAAATTATTGTATAAGTTATTTTATTATTTTTCAATGGATTTTCAAATAAAAATGTATTTTAATTAAAGCCACAGAAAAAAGCAAACATTTTTGAGAATATCAAATGACTGAAATCATTTTACTCTATTCAAGTGTTGCCATTTACTATATTCATACTATTTTCGTATATACTTTGTAAGACTACCAACACAACACACAAACACAAAATATTTTATGTTAAGTTATTATTAGTAATAATAAAAATAAAAGTGATATGGTTGAAAATAAGTCTCTTACAAAGAACTTCCTACAATAATACATTATCTTAATCATAGTACTATGTAACAATTCCATTTAATGTTATGGCAACACTAGCTGAAACAAAATGTCACCTTTTTTTTACTGGCTTTACGGCTCTGGGTTTTAGCCCTTCTGAGAATGTCACTGTATGATACAAAGACCCTGGAGCCATGCCAGAAATATACATTTATAGTATGCAAATATATAATAGAGATACAATAATCTAAAAAGTCTCAATTATGTAGGTAGGTACATTATGTTGAGAATGTATTAAGCTAACATCAAACAACCACAGGACGGATGACTTTTTCCAAGTGACAAAAGATATAACCTAAAATGGTTTAAATCTAAATCTTTTTTTTTGACGCCTTCTCAGGACAAAATTCTTTGACAGATTTATTAAGGGACTGACGCTTAACATTTTAAAATATTTTTGTTACATAGACGTTACCATTCATTCTCAACTAATTTTACGTATGAAAGTTTGTCATTGTTCTTTACGTGCTTTCCGAGGCTAGGGGGTGAAACACCGCGAACTTCCTGACTCCCGGCTGTTACTGACAATTTCTTGACAGAAAAACGCATTAACTAATTTTTATTTACGACCACTAGAGCAACGAGTCAGTCGAAAGTATGAATATTTATGGTTGTTACATGATGAATTAAAATTGGTATTGATGAAACAAAAGTGTTACATTATCATGAAGCTAATATAAAGGGGAGACGGCATAAGCAACTGTGCACTGTGATTCTAAGTAGGTCCTGACGTCATCATAGTGGGCGTGGCTTTAGTTAGTATACTGTCAGCATTCGTCCTGTGCGCTTATGTGTTGAAAAAATCGCAAATCGATGTATTTTCGTAGTATTAAGAAGAAAAGGATGAAGTGTTGTGTTTTATTGTGTAAAAGCTACTCAGATAGACGCTCTGATGCTATGGATGGCATCACATTTCATTTGTAAGTAATTTTACACCTAATTTATTAAAATAGTTCTAGAAAAATCTCTTTGCGTCGGCTTTCAAATATAATTAAATATATTCCACACTAGATGGCGACACTTTGTGTCCTGTGAACTAAAAATATAAAGGTCCGTAGAGCTCAATAACGATAAAAAAATCATACGAAGGTGTGAAATTTGTTTTGCATTCAGACATAAAGAAATTTTTATCGCCAAAATATTATTTTAGTTTATAACATTTTGTGGACATGCCGCCATCTACCGTCAAGGTAGCTAAGCTACATTGCAACATCGATATGGAAAGATTCGTGGGCGGGGCTTTGCATCCCCTCACCCCGCAAATTGTCACGCGTTGTTACATAGTGAAATTTAATTATAACGTCTCCTCTTTGTATTTGCTTCATGAACATTATTCACGATAACATTTTTTATAATAAGATGAAATCGTACCTGTGACCGTACCATATATTATAGTGCGGTGTGGTGGCGGCGTAAGAGGATCCATCACCCGATTTCGTCCCGAAGCTGTAGCAAGAGGCGACTATGGCAAATACAAGAAATACCAGAAAGAGCCATGATCTCACGGCTCATGGCACTGTCGCAAGTGCGTCTGCAAGGCGCTCCGAAAGAAAGGTCCATGTCCAGTAGTGAACTTTTACATCTTGATAAAGAAGATGAAATAGAATTTTTGAAGAATTTGAATGCTCCACTTCAAGTAACGCCGAAACCACATTTTTTGCAAGTTATTTAAGATTTTAAGTTGATGGTTTTGGTTGGTATCGCGGTCACTTAAATTCTACCCATCGCTTCCTCTATCGTTCTTTGTGAGTCTGAGGTACCAATAGGCATGCGTTTTTGGAAGAATTTTCCATACGTATCATACTAGACTGGAGGGTTATTGCGTGCAGCCGATACTCTTGCAATGGCAATGCTGTTCCCATAACTACGTTGTGGCATTTGGATCCGGAATTTACTTGTAAATTTCCGCCATCAGTCGATGACCACAACCTCTCGTCAGCAGAATGCACACCATTTTTGACTATGTCTAGAAAATAGAAGAATGGAAAAGGACTTTGAAATGCTACTTCTTGTTTTTAGTTAAATATTCATTGTAGTGTTAATAATTACTAAAATAACTCACAGGAGCGCAAGCAGTAACAACGTCAACGACATCGCCGCCCGTCTTGAAACTACAACAGGTAATATTAAAGTGTTTCCATTATTAGCTTAACCATTATATAAAGAAGTGCATAGTGCAGAAAATATGTACGAATATAGAAATATGTATTTCATATTATGTATGTATATTTGTATATACACTTGCATTTAACAGGTCTCAAACAAAGGATATATAAAGCTAGGACTTTGTGTAGGGAAAATATAGCTTTGATTTCAATCTTAAAATAAGTTAACAATTAAGAATTGTTTCAAATGACGATTTTACAAACTTTAGTGAATAAGTAACATTATTAATTATACTCGTATAAGACAGGCTGTTATTACCAATTAATTAAAATGGTTATAAGAAAAGAGCCTACTCCTTATTAAAAGGCCGGCAACTCATCTGCAATTCCCCTGGTGTTGCAGTTGTTCATGGGTGGCGGTAGTCACTTACCATCAGGTGAGCCGCATGCTCGTTTGGCTCCTCCTATAAAAAAGGTCGTTTAAATTGCATATATAAAAACCTCAATGTGAATAATACTTTATGCAATGTAAGTAAACATTAAGGTTTGTGTAAGATATTTTGAGGTGAGATTTTATTAATTTCCATTGTTTACTTGGTGCTAGAGCTCCTTTTCTGCTAAGGAGTCTGTCTGTGCTCCGGTTCATTAAATAATAGTACCAGTATAATTACAAGATGTGAAGCATTTTAGCTTAGCCCTGAGGTGTGTACACTTGTGGCCCTCCTTAAAGTTCGTTTAAGTCATTGAAAGTATGTTACCACTCATTGCATTGTGTTAGCTAATTTGGCACTAATATTACCTATTAAAATAATGAAAACATTTACATAATGATTATCAATTCAACTTACTTACATTATTAAAGGATGCCTATTGTTGTTTAAACCCCATCAGAAACGAGGGGAGAGGTTTTTAACGATGTCATTTCTAACAATTATGCTTTCAACATTGTATGGATTACACAATTACTTGGGGACAATCGAACAATATCAACAATCTCTTTAATTGCACAATTTATCATGTCTCATCACAGAGTATTGATTTGTTTTATGGTTGCGTTATAGGTGAATCCAATACATCAGGTTAGACTACCGCAGGGGATAAAAATTCAACAGGTGATTATTGAGAGTTTGCATGCATAACAAATTTTGACAAATTACTGTAGTATTGTTAACAAAATGCATGGGGGTTATGCATTACAAGCATGGTTCAAGATTAACAAAGAATGAACGAGAAGCACTAATAATTTTGAATGGGTGTGAGATCACTATCTATTTTTATAGTTGTAAATTTAATGAAAATTAAATGAAGTAAATATTTTTATTGTAAATAATATAATAACACAATAATGAAGTTAGTCACTTGAACAATTGTTTAAAATATTTAATACCTAATAAATTAATTTAATTAAATATCACATATCGGTGACAAAATGTGTGTTATGAATTGTTATATTTATGTTTTAAATAAAAGTTTTTCGGTTTCTAGTGCATGTATATACACAAAACAATGACATAGCGGCGTGTCCTTTAACTTTTTTCACGTTTTTAAAGTTCAACTTGTAGGAAAATTTGTAGTTTGTCAATTTGTGGTTTATCCCTTTCTAATTTAATTAATACAAAATATAACTAATATTTCATAAAGAAACATTAATCTCTACACATTTCTGACAAATTAACTTCCCCCGCTATGAAATCTGTCTAATATTTCACTTCATTCCAAATTGGCGCCGCCCTGGTGGCAGGAAATGTCGTGGATGCCCCTTATTGAATAACCGTGTGGTGGCAGTACATGAGAATCCGTGATAGAATGATTGTCTTACTTAATTTGTTGTTTAGACGTCATAAGAGATGATTATGAGAAGTGAAAGAAACATCTTATGATTTTCGATAGATGGCGGTGTAATCATATAATATAAACTTATTGCAAGATGTAAATTTACACACCGACTACGGGTGTGAGATGTCTAGTGAGTTCACTTGCCATAAAGTGTCTATTAAGTGTATTTTTTAACTTACTATAAGCCATTGCTTGACTATAATCCCACCTGGTGGTGGTAAGTGGTAATATAGCCCTAGATGGTAAATCGCACTGTTTTAGTGTAACAAAGTCTATTCACTCTTGCCTTGAAGACGCTCAGATTTTATTCGGATGGAAAGACAGACGCCGGCAAATTATTCCACTACTTTGCTGTATAATACATAAGACGAAGCAAACCGCTTGGTTCTAGTGCGTAGAATGTCGACAACAAAGGGTGAAGACCTGCCGACTGCCTGGATATCCAAAGGTGGAAAGGAGAGGGAGGAATCGAGGCATGTAATTCCTGCGCACACTCACCGAAATACATCCTATAGAATACCGAGAGTCTGGCTATTGTATTTTGCGCCTGTGTTCGACGCAAGATTGGTTTCAACCAAATCAATGTTACCAATGAGCCTCTTAGCACGTCTCTCCTCCACTGAGTCAAAACGTTGCTAGGTGGCATTTTGCAGCACCCGCCCATATGTAACAGCAGTACTCCATGCACGACCAGACTTCGCCTTATAGAAGGTAAGAAGCTGCCCAGGCGTGAAATACCGCAGCACCCTTCCAAGGACATCCAGTTTACTTGCGGCTGCTTTGACTCTGGACTCAATGAACCGCTTATAGTTGAGGTTCAGAGCAAAATTCTAACAACTTACGGCGGTCAAAGATACATTCCCGAAAGTAGGAGCTAGGGTGAGCGGGTTCCTTTTAGCGGTGAAAGGACACGCTTGTATTTTGGAGACATTGAATCTTACGAGATTGGTGTCGCCCCATTCTGAGACTGCCTGCAGTGAGAGATTCGCACACTCAACCATAGCTTCTCTTGCGGACTGTATTTGATCCCGCCCGACCCGAGCATTCGGCTAGTACCTCTCCACATCGTGCTGTTGTCTGCATACCGATAGATAACGGGAATAAGCAGATCAGTAATATGCAGCAGGAAAAGAGTTGCTGAGAAAACGGATCCCTGTGGAATTCCGGCGTTTGTTGCGATAGGACTGTACGAGCAGCCATCGATGACGACTCGGAGAGATCGTTTACTCAGAAAGATCGTTTACTCAGAAAGATTTTCACCTAGTCAATCACGTCAGGGGATAAATCGTACGCTGTTAGCTTGCCCGAAAGGCTATCGTGACAAACCCTTTCAAAGACTTTCGAGACATCAAGGGAAACAGCAAGTGCTTTCCCACAGTCATCGAAGGCTTCGCCCTATATGTGAGTGGCATACTCGTACTGACGATCACTGAGGAGATCATTCTGCCTTAGGTATGACATGAGATGGACGTTCAATATACGCTCCGTAGTCTTGCAGAGTATGGAGGTAACTGAAATTGGGCGATAGTTGGCAGGGTCGACACGGCTGCCCTTTTCAAGCACAGGCTGCACATTGTGCACTTCTCATTCATGAGAGGCGGAATAAGCGCGTCAACACAGGGGACAAGTTAGGTGCACAGACCTTTAGAACTATAGCTAGTATACCATCAGGTCCACTAGCTTTGTTCACGTCTAGACTTCGCAAGGTTTTAAGAACCTCCTTGTTGGTGATATGGACCTGACCTTGTGAAAGAGAAGAAAATAAGTCCGCTTTCTCCTTAGTTGCATGCGCCAGTGAGTCATCTGGTTTTACCAGCGGAGGCAGTGTAGACCGGTAGAAGTTTGTTACGACCCCATTTGGCGAAAGACCAAAAAGCTGCCAGATGGTTTGACAGAGAGCTTTGCACTGATGGCTATTATTAAAGGCTAAAATATTATATTAAAGGCTCTCTTCTTATGGCTTATATCCGAAGCTTCCGATCTAGACCATCGACCTAGGATAAATACGCCATATGCTTGTGCTTTTCAGCACGTACGCATTCGACGTTGATGCGGCATACTCCATTGCTTGACGTATCATATCGGTAATGGCTTTCTCTAATCCTAATTCTAATCTGGTCATAATCATTGAGGGTGGAAGAATTATTTTAAATAGATATTTAACTATTTACTAAAAATCATAGCCTTGATAATTATGTAGTTTGTGACAGTACTCAAATCGACGTTAGTGTTTTAGAATTATATGTGTAATTGTATTTTCAAAGTGTACAAGCAATACACGAAATTATACAGAGGCACTCTGCAGACAAAAAAAATCACGTTATATTTAACATAATATTTCATACGCATAACTCACGTTAAAGATTCTATGGAACATGAAGTAATATGTGTTTTACCCGACTGCCCCTGTAATGTATTTTCGAGAGTATGTATGTATGTAGCCTAAACGGCTAGGGTTTGATGGATTTTAACATATGGGGTGTCGTAGATTCGTTTTAGTTATGGAAGTGACATAGTGTACAAAACTTTTTTCTTTTTAGTAAACTTTTTTTACGCAGGCGGGTACTTTTTAAAATTATTGTTTTAACCTTTAAGCTTGTTAAATTGCATCGGTTTGGTAATGGTGTTTTTTACCTTAAGTAAGAGATAATAAAGTTCTGACTGCTTTGTGATTTTTAGCACTTCACAGTTTTATTAAGGCACCTTCATCTAAATTTTAAGAAAAAAAAATGGTTCAACTTTGGTACTTCGTTGTAGTGATTTAAATCAGTTCTAAGGAAAAGCAGTGTTTAATATTATAATTTCACTCTATCATAATAATAGTGGCAATAATTTTCATCACTAATTCCTATATTAGCCGCTCGCATGCCTAACACATAATGCTTAAGTTTTGTAAGAACTACTTGTATATAAAATGCGTGACATTAATTTTAAAAAAAATGAGAACCTTTCACCCCATTTCATAAGTAATTTTTCTAATTTGTATAATTTGACTCACACTAAGATTAACGTAAATATTGTTGTCATATAATTGTATCACTGTGTTTAACTTTAACTTGTGTATAGCTATCCATCACTCTCTATCTCCTCTCGCTAGTACCTATCAATAACTAGAATTAAAAAATTTCAAACCCCTCGAAACAAAAAGGACTGATGATCTTCAAACGGCTGAACAGATTTTCTTTAATTTTCATAGCTAAGAACACTCTCGATTAAGGCACCTTTCAAATAAAAAAAAAACTTAATCAAAATAGATTCATCTATTCAGGAGCTACGATGGAAGAAATTAATATATTAACTTTGGCCTCTCAATACATTTATGAAAATGTAATGTACGTACATAAAAATAAAAGTAGTTTTACAAAAATAGGTGATATTCATAATGTAAATACTAGGAACAGACACCAGTTAGTAGTACCAGTTACTCGACTCCACCGAGTCAGTAATTCATGCATGGGGCATGTATACGCTTTTACAACAAAATCCCAGAGAACATACAAAATTTGACCTGCTGAGATTTCAAAAATTATTAAACTAAGTTTGTATAAAAAGGGTTATTATAATATTAAGGAATTTGTGCACGATAATAACCCCTGGGAATGAGGTGTTCGCTACCAGGCTATTTCTAATTTGTTTTTGTTTTTAAAGTCCCGCTGGGTTACTTGCTAGTTCTTCCCAGGACAATCTTTTTTTTTTTGGAACCAGTGGCAATTAAACATAAACAAAAGACTTTGGAATAAGTTTCTGTTTCTGATGCCACAGGCAGACACACAGATACACACTACAAACATATAACACTACTCTGTTTTTGTCGGGGCTTAAAATCAGTTAAGGGGAGGGTCTGGAAATTTTTGAGGCATAGTAAATGTATAGCAGACCGTGTGGTAGCGGAAGAGGCGACAGAGGAAAACAAACAAGGAGATGAGCAGCTGCGACTTCCTAATAATAAAAAGAAAATTAAAAAATGTGGCATCCGTGGCAAAAGGGGGATACCCTTATGAGGCAATCTATGGGTAAAATTAGGTTTACCATTGGACTTCAAAGGGCCGTAATAAATGAATAAAAACTGAAGCGTATTGTGCACACTAACCTTTAGTAACGTTCTCAAAAATTATTAAGTGTTAAGACCGATTTCTAAAACTCGTCCTCATATTTTTGCCCGTAGGGGTGTTATTTTGCATATAATTAATATGGGACCACCGTATACCTATACAAAAAAAAAATGAAAATACATTCGAATAAAAAATCTCATTTTTTAAAGTCGGCTCAAATTAATGATGGTGGACTGCAGTTCCTTTAAGCGTATATCGCTCATAAAGATTTAAGAAAAATGTAATATCATTTTGTTATTTATTGGTCCATTGTTTTACAGTAAGCTTTATTTAATTTCCTACAGAAGTTGCATCATGCCCTTGAAGAATGTTTTCTCCGTATTTCCTCCACTCCAAACCGCACTAATGCACTGTATCGAAATTTAGCATTGAATTCTTTAAACTATAGTTGGCCCATACAATTTTGGTGTTAAATTCCAAATTACTACATCACTTAATTTTCTAAAAACTCTCTGATGTCATCTTTGTTGGCGCGTCACATTGCGACGATTTTGAAAGACTAGACGCCAGCATTAGACATCGAACAGTCGATGACTATAGGCGTCTAAACGAACAAGATAATTTGAAGTTTATATTACCATCGTAGCACTTGTTTCATCGTTTCTAATAGTTCACATGCGCAGAAATACAATACATAAAATCGTACCATACTTATCAAAATTTAAACCTTTATTTGAAACAATTATACAAGAGCAGGAATCTGCCGGCGATAAAGTTCCCGTCGAAAACTCCTAATAATGTGTATAACATTAGGAAGAAATTTGTGTTAAATGATTTCCCGTTGGAAGAAATGTCATAATAACGGTTTCTAACAAGTATAATGCGCGCGGAACTAGTTGGCCGCGCCTTAGGTGGCGACAGGGGTGAGGGGGCGGGTTGCCTACTGCTCGCAACGAACATGAGATTAGACAGTGATGACCTATCTCGGGATATCGTGAACAATAATTGTTCAATTATTGAAAAGAATAAATAAAAAACAATTGAACTTTTAGAAGTTTATATTGTACCAATCTAATTATATTGTAATTAATAGTAAAATAAACCAAAAATAAATTAAGTACATGAAATTATTCTGACATATCCTCTGAATCACTTAATTCTGAACTTTCTGAACTTGATTCAGAATCATCTTGGAAGTTTATAATGATTTCGTCCATCATAGTATCAAATCTCATATCATGATTCCAGTATTCTTCTTCGTTTTTTTGTACGTGGTCATCGCATTTTTGCCATTGTTCGGCAGAGAATTCGGAAAATAGCCTTGTTAGTATTGTAATTTTCTCGTCCAATGTAGCATTAATGTGATCTCTGGCCAGGCAATTTTTAATATTTGCCCACACAAGCTCGATAAGGTTGAGGTCTGGATGATATGGAGGTAGTCTTAGTACTTAGGGTTTTTAAAAAGAGCAAAGAGTATGACCTGCAGCTTTCAAAAGTTCATCAACAGTGTATATTTTTCTGATTGGGTCGTATTAATCAACCTCAAAAGTTCGGCTTTGATCATCGTGGGAGAAAATGGCACGTTATGATTTTGCAACCAGTTCTGCATATTAATTTTCAAACTGGACATAGTCGGTTTCTTCTCAACTTGCACACTATGATAGACAGCATTATCCATAACTATGACTGAGTTAGGTGGAAGTTTAGGTATTAATTTTCGATCAACCCAGTTGTAAAAATTTGTAGAGTTCATGTCTCCATGATAATATCCCGTTTTTGAATCTGATTTAAAAATTAGCAAAGCATCGTCAACTAACCCGTTCCGGCTACCAGCGTGAACTATTACTAAACGCCTTCCTTTGCCTATAGATGTAGAAATTCCAGGCTCCGACGAAGATTGCCAACATTTTTGGATATTGTGAGTTTGGTTAACGTAAGTTTCGTCCAAAAAGAATATATTTCGTTTGTCTTCTCTGAATTTTCTTATGGCCCTCAAATATTTCACTCGCCATTCAACTATGATTGGTCTCTCTATTAAAAGGGATCTTTTCGATTTACATTTTTTAAATGAATATCCCAGTTTGTGCAAAAGTTCTCTTAAAAAAGTTAATCCGCAATCTAAAATATTATCCTCTTTTAACATAGCATTTAGTTTTCGTAGACTTGAATTTTTTTTTCTACCGTATAAAACTGTTTTATTTTTCTTCTTATTACTCCTAAATCAAAATCATCAACTTGTATTTTCTTTCTAATTTCTTTTGGTCTCCGCGGAGAACTAAATTTTGCTTCCCCTGTATTTTGCAAGGAAGTTTTACTTTCAGCAATCACTCTCCTCACACTTCGTTCTGATATCCCTGTTGCTTCTGCTACAAATTTATGTATATTCGCATCCGTTTTATATTCTAAACTATTAACATCGGCTTTCCGTTTTTTAAAAACGTATGCACTTTAAATATTATTTCCTAAGATTGTCTTTTTATCGGCGGACTCATCTCGCTATTGCAATCTCATGTGCGTTTTGTCTAAAGTAACCGGAACGTTCAATGCGTGTTGCCGTTGCGAAGTACGGCGCCGCACTGAGCAGTGAGCACTGAGAGACATGACAGCAAGCGCCCCCGCCTCTGTCCCACCGCTCACATACCTAAGGCCGGCCACATACATACGGAATTCCGTTTCGAGATTCCGTTTCGATATTCCGATTCGGAATCCCAAACGCAGCAAGTCCATATAAAATCTATGACCCGCCACACACGTACGGTAGTTTTCCGTTCGATATTTTGCGGCCAAAACGGGATTCCGTTTGTGTGTGGCCGACCGTTCGAAATTCCGAAACGGAATCTCGAAACGGAATTCCGTATGTATATGGCGGGCCTAAGGCGCGGCCAACTAGTTCCGCGCGCACTATAGTTCAAAATTATTATGTATTGTTTATATAATCTAAATACCTATGTTATGTTTGCAATTGCAGGCTGTACCAACAGCGACAGTGCCAACATCTAGCGGAGTCCGTAGTGTGCTGATGGACGGCCAACAATTGAAATTAGTTGGAGGGCGTCACGTGCTAGCCAGGTTGTTGAGACCGACTAACCCGCCGCAATAGCAAGGGTTTTCGATCTTTCGATCATTTGTATATAATATCTTATAGCATAAAAGCGACGGGGTAAAAGGCATATTAAAATATTTTTGTATAATATATCAAAATATTATCAAGTTGTATATAAGGTTTTAGGTCAAAATTGCACCAATACTGGATCCCTCAGTGGCAGAGATACAAAGTATTAAACTTTTTAGGTATAGATATAATTACCTTTTAATTTATGTACATTTACTTTAACAAATATATGATTTAGTTATAAGTTATTTAATTAAACACATGACCAGCGACGTATAATATAAATAAGGGTACCTTCGAAAACAAAATAATGTGCACTTAATAGAAGTGTGTTAAATGCATTTTGCCATAAAAATATAGCAATTATATAAGTAAAAAGACATAATTACATTCAAAAGCAATTTAAATATGGAAAATACGATGAGTTATAAGTACTACGTACAAGAGAAGCTATTCCAAACCAAAAACGAATGTGTCGCAACTTTATGACAGTGACATCGAGGACCTGCGCGGGGCGAACGCGCCGTGACTGACTGAGGTATTTGCTGCAGCGCTAAAATTTGTTATGTCGTCTAACCAAACTATTAGCTATAGAGTATTGTTTTCACGCGACCGTTCAATCGCGATTTTACACCTTAAAAGTGACAGATTTTGTACCTTCAAAATAATAATACACAGTTAAATAAATTACAAAGTAGAAAAGTAGTTAAAGTTTTGCCTACTGAATATTTATTTAAGCCCAGGTTCACACTGATTCGTATTCTCGTATTATTAGTGCCGTTCCGTACGCGCCCACTTCGCATGAATGTCGAAGCCACACTAAGGTGTACGGTACGGATTGCAGTACAGTCACAGAATAAATAATAGTACTACGTACAGAAGTTGCACTCCTTTGATGTCGACTGCTTGCCGACGTTTTAATAGCCTACATAATTATTGTTAATTAGATATATCGTGCACGCAAGCTAAATAAAACTTTATCGCTACGCGCGAGTGTCCATATTACTTTGCATCTTTTCCCCTTGCTACGTCGATTTTCCGTGGTTACTAAAGGATGTTAATATAGAGTAAAGCTACTTTGGGAAATGGTTTTCGCTACTATGTGAGTTCTGCCATCGCATGCAACTTGCAAGGCCATTCGTCGGGAATCGCTATGCTTGGCTCGGAAGAAATAGGTAGATAGAGTAAACAACAAATAAACCCGAAATACGATTCCTAACAGAAATGTGATCGTTTTCTACTTAGTTAAAAATCTTGTAAACAAAGTTTTACTTTCATTATTTTGTGTTATAATAACTTCAATTATTTCAATTACAATAGACAAGTGTAGGTATGTAAGTAGGTACTTGGATAGTGAAATAAATTTCAACTTAGTTATGTAATAAAGTACGTAGGTATTAGTTCTGTAGTTACATTATTACTTAATTCTTTTTTCGCTTTATGTAGCCATCTAACAAAAAAAAATCCACCTTTCATTATCCTTGGGTAACTTAAAAAATGATATATCTGAATCCTTTTGTTTGTTCATTAAGCATCCATCCGCGCAGCAATTATAGTAGGAACGACGTTTTGCCATTATATTTTATCAAATATATAAGTAATATACATATTTATTATTTTAAAATTTAATTAAAACGTTTTCAAGTATTATATCCTACAGTTAATTATACTAAACACTAAACAAAAACCGTTTCAATAAGTATTTATAAAAACTATTTACGTAAACATATTACGTTAAAAAACTTTAACATTCAGTCGACTAGAATGCTCTAGCCCCGAGTGCGTATGTATCCCGGGGGCGCCTCGCGATTGTAGGTACTAGGTAATTTTTTCACGCAGGTAGCAAGACTGACAGAGGTCTGATACAGTTCAGGCGAACATAGTGAGTGTTCGGATCGTGAAATCTAAGGCGTAGAATATAAGGTCCTTGAGGGTATTAAGGCCTAGCTAATTGGGAAATTTGTGATAAAATGAAAAATATCCAACATAATCAACAAGTTTTATTATTAATCAGTCATGTACTTAATTACTACAGAGCTTAAACAAAAAATAGCTTCTCTAGCTTAAAACCAAAACAATATATAACTTTTTAAAAACGCAGTCTGTAGGCCTTATTATACTAGGGTAGGGTAAAAAGGTCTATACTTTAAACTATCCAAAAATTAACTTATACTACGTAAATTGGTATTCTTGAGATCAATAATCATTAACATAAAGCAATAGGAAGCATTGGTTTTAGAAGATTAAATAAATTGCCTTTATTCGCATCCATCAGGACATTGAAAGTCATCAGTATCTTCTGCAGTCAAACCGACACACTCTTCGTGGTACCGCTTGGAACATCGCGAGCTTATTGAATCGTCCATTCTATCTTCTTTGCATGACAGTACCAACTCACTTGTTTTTGTGATTTACCTTTGACGATAGTAGACTTTTTTACAATCGTATATTTTAGCTTTCTTAGGATTTAAAGTCTTTTTAAACTTCGTTTTTTCTTTTCTATCTGTTTTAACATCAGTGTAGTTTTCGTCTTGTTTATTTTTCTTTCTTTTGTTACCTTTCACTTCTTTACTATTTATTTTCTCTTGATTACATTTATCAAATATATTTTTTGTGATTGGAGTACCTCGATAATTAATGCCCTTTCGTCTAACAGTCGGTGTGCATGTTTGAACTTTAACAGGCGTAGGCAAAAGATCATAAAAATAATTTCTTTTCAACCGACTGAGTGGTAAATCATCAGATTCATCTGAACTAGAACTTGTTCCATAAACTGTGCGATAATTTGGATGCTGTAGCTGGTGATTGCTTAGTTTGTTCTGGAGTCGCTGGTCAAAGACAATCAACAGGTGAAATATTTCCAAGCGAGACATCGGGTATTGAAATCGGTGTCAAAATTGATGGTGATCTAGGTAGCTACTTAATAGGTGGTATATTTTCTTGATCACGATCAGGCGTTGAGGCTTCCGATAAAATAGACGGTGTTGTTGTATTTCCGGTTTTTGAAGCTTGTGCATGAGGATGTTGGAGAGCTGGTGCGTTTTCTTGTGCAACATTTGGTGCAGGAGCTTCCGTTAAAATGGAAGGGGCAAAAGCTGTTTCTGGTATGGCCTGTGGGTTGAAGGGATACAAGCCAGTCGCTTTAAAGCCACTCGTGATATTGCTGTGTGTCATACATTTAGACCAAACGCTTGAAAGAATGATATTAAAGCGTGCTTTAGTGAGTTATTTGTCTCTGTTTTGGTCCAAAAATGATAAGAATTCAGCTTCCCAGTGGTGCTCGAATGATCGATATACGGCTTAGTCGAGAGACTGTAATTCATGGGTTGTGTTTGAAGGTAGGCAGTACAAATTAATGCCAAGTGAATCGGATATATCGACTGTGGAAAGATCTAAATGACACGCTGCTCCATTAAATATGAAAGGGCATGGTCCCTGGCTTTTGTATCGAGATAAGTGTTTTAAAAATATTTTGAAAAGTTCATTAGTCATATACCCCTTTGCTGATATTTTTTTATAATAATTCCTCGAGGCAAATTATCGTACAATTCTGGTTTCAAACGTTTTCCCTTAAATATGACCATAGGTGGTATGGCTGTGCCAAGAGCATTAACACATCCTGCGATGGTAACGCTTTCAGCATGTTCAGAAGACTGCAAATGAACCCTTTTAGCCACTTTTTTGGCTAAACACTTTGCTGGTGGTGGATAGTGAGACGGCATCCTTTCTCATCCATATTATAAATTTTCTCGGGATGGTCATATAAGTCAAATTTATCGTATATATCTCTCAGTTTTTTTAAATGGTCATCAACAATAAATTTATTTGGGCTTTAGCTGGGATATTTCATGGTGTTTTCATGAACGCTTTGAACCAGTCTTTGCCTGCACGTTTGCCCTCATAATTAAAATTGTGTTTTATATTATTTTGCTCACAATATTTATACATCAATCGACGCAATATTCTTGGTGTCACAGGCAAGCCCATTTCAGAATACCGGATTCTCCTTTGCACAAGTTGAGCTTCCTCTTTATCATTTAATATAGGTTTACGTCCCAAACTTTTCTTTGAACTGCCAGACTGCAGATGATTTCTGATTGTTCTTCTAGGAACCTTATAGATCTCTGCAGCCTTATACGCATTCAAAGCTCCTCTTTGTACTGCTCTAACAGCTGCGATCAGATCGTCTTCTGACCACAATGCCCGTTTGGGAGGCATCGTGATCGTAAGCAATGAAAACAATACGTACATACTACACACCTACAAACATTTATAAACACGCTAGGAGCATTTTATATAGCAGTTTAAAAAAATAGGAGTATAATAAGGCCTATAGTAAAATTTTATAGACCTTAATATACGGTAACCTAGCGACAAGCATACATTAATTAATAAACGGACAGTCAATACAGGTTTTGTAAATATGATATTTTCGAAATAACTTACGTTTTCCTGGAGCCAATTTTTATAATTCGTGCCGCGTGACCGCACCGCTGTATGATTTCGATGACACTGGCGGGGGGAGAAGTGCAAGCGTTCGTCCACCACTTCGCAGCGACTTATATACGCTCTGAGCTTGGGTGAGTGTAACCTTGATCGTCAATTACTGTATTTGGTACATTTTTTGTTAGGTCTTATTGCCCGACAGGCCTTAATACCCGCGGGTACCTTAATAAGGATAGGTTTTGATCTGCGGTTATTGCAACTTCACTCTCGTAATGTCAAATGTTAAGACTCCTTCATTTTATTATTATTATTGTTGTTATTTTAAGGAAAAATAAAAGTAATGTAGTATGTACGTACGTACGTTATTATATCATATTATAATTTATAACATTAATAACAACATAAATAAAGATACATGTTTTTATTGTATTTTAATTTGTTTTTAATCATGATATAACGTATCATTTTTGTTTAGTGATATTCTACCCAGGTCTTATCATAACCACATCGTCTGTAAATTTTCGTTTGTTCAAAATTATTTTTAGTGACATAACTTGTAAACTGTCTCACAGAACTAACGACGATCGTTCCGTTCCGTAACGCGAGTTCTGCTACCATACCAAATTTACATTGCGCACGCATTATACATTAGTGGTATATGCCATTTCTAATTCTTCTGTACAATGGAGTTCTTCTTTCTTAAACTTCTTTTTATAGAGCCAATCAGTTAAACTGATCAACCATTAACATCTATGCCTGTGTGACAAGATTCAGCTCAGGATTGGCTGCAGAGACGCAGGAGAAAGAAGCGCAACACAAGAAGTCACAAAAGTTAGTTTCAGTTGGCAGTCAATCCCAGGACCAGGATCGCTGATGACATTTGGTCAGGAATGTGTACGTGGTAGAGCCATGCTGCAGCTATATTAATAGTATAGTTGTAGCACGAATGGGTCGGCTCGACCGGGGAAGGACCACGCTCTCACAGAATACCAGTGTAAAATAGCAACTTAATGCTGCTGTGTTTCGTATGGTGAGTGTAGAGAACCGGAGAACCATTTTACCGGAAAAGAGGCATTCTATCTTAGTCCTCAAGGCTGACAACGCATCTGCATTTTAATTCACAAACGAGGATAGATGCAGATGTCTATGCGCCACAGCAGCCACTTACCATCAGGTGGACTGTGTGCTCGTTTGTCACCCTAATTCTATAAAAAAAAAAGAATCTACTTTACGTCAGCATTCCAAGCAAACGTCTTTTTGTTATATAGTACAGATCGTATTTACATACATCAGTATGCCGGGCAGGTATCTTTATTTATAGTACACGTCGTTGAAGCTGGTGCTACAATATCGTTTAGTACTAATTCACTTAGTGGTGTTAATCTATTCACTAATAATATGTATTTGAACAGCGTGTATATATAATATAAAAAATAATTTAACACTTTTTTTTTTACTAGAAAGCAAACAGTGCCTAAAATATCCTAAAATGTATATTAAATATTTCATTACTTAGTATTTTTTATATAGCTGACAGTTTGCCTTTTGCCCCCTTGGAATGTAGCATTGATAATTGACAAATTATTAGATATCGAAGCTTGCAACTTTAGTGTAAGAGACATGAGATATTTTTTAAGAAGTCAAATGTTTATTTAAATTGGATACAGAGTTATTTGTGTAATTTAATAATATTATTTTGGTTGCAATATCTAGTTATATCCCAATTGATTGTCAATTAGGATTGTAGTATATTTTTTGTATAATAAATTTTGTCTATATGAAACGAATCTCTTGTTTAATTTTATCTACTATGCGACCTTATAACTATAATAGCAAAATAAAAACCGTAAAAAAAATGATAGCCCGCAACGTGTCGTGATAACATAAGTGTCTCAATCATCACATTCCAGGGATGTTGTCAAACTTGACAAATGGAAACGTTTCGATTTTTGGCCATCTATAGATGACAGCAGCATTAACCACCAGGACCGGTAAATTCTTAGCGCGACATTGGCAAGTAGTATCAAAGGTTCCAGTCGTCTGGAACTGGGATCGCCAGTCGGCTACCCCATCATAGCGAGTACTGTAAATCCTTTCTAGAAGTGTAAATAACGTCTTAAGACAGACAGCTCATTTTTTTAATTCTATGAACAGGCTTGTAACAAGCTATTCTACTTGACACTGGCAAAAGTACAACCTTACTAGTCAGTAGAGCCATGCTGCATCTATATTATGGTTGTAGCACGAATGGGTCGGCTCGATCGGGGTAGGACCACGCTCTCACAATACCAGCGTAAAATAGCAGCTTAATGCTGCTGTGTTTCGTATGGTGGGTGTAGAAAACCGGAGACCTATTTTACTAGAAACGAGGCATTTCATCTCAGTCCTCAGGGGAGACAACGCATCTGCATTTTGATTCTTAATTGAGGATGAATGTAGATGTCTATGGGCCACAGCAACCACTTACCATCAGGTGGACTGTGTGCTGCCTTGTCACCCTTATCCTATAAAAAAAATTGGCTCCAACGCAGACGTACTTTGTTGCGTTGTACGTTGAAAAGCGTTTACTTTTGCATTATAAAAATAGAAGGTGGCGTTTTTCACATAAACTTGGGCAATCTCAATTCATTTAGATCCGAAAATGATAATTTATGTGATGCTTAGTATTGATTCGAATACAATTGCTTTGTAGTTTTTAACTCAGCATCCACAATTCAGGCTTCGATCACTAATTTTCTTTTGATATGCCACAAGTCCGCCTTACGTGGATGGGTTATGTCAGACTTGAACCGACTAAAATCCCTTGCTGTTTCACCTTCACTGCTTATGGGTGGAACCATGGTAATGTTCTATTCGCACACATTCACACCCTCACTAGCACCAGCCGGCTCTTAGCGGCAACTCTTCGAAAGAGGACCACGCCCACCTTCTCAGACAAGACACGCCTTCAACCTTCATCAAATGGTCGTGTAAATAAAGGCGTTGTGATAAATTTATAGTTATATAAAGTAACGCAAATCGTCGGTGGGAAAAACATAATTTATTTCATTAATTATATACATTCTTGGTGTTCAGCCATCGATCACTAATAAAAAATTAGATACACAATCAGTGTCAAAAAATGTCCTTACCGAACGAGCGCCCACTCGAAAATTTGGATGCGCTTTTAATTTGTACGTAGCTTTGTGAATACAACGTTAGGCAATGCATTTAAGGTTGAATTTACATTAATGTATATTTATTTCAACTAGAATTACGTCAAAACAATGGGCGACAGTTTTTAGAGAACTTGCTTGGGATTGTGTATCTAGTTTTTTATTAGTGATCGATGTGTTCAGCTTAAAAATAACCACACTGCCTTAATATGTAACACAAGCGGTTCCAGAACTTAACACCTAACAATACTATGTGTGATATATGTAATATATTTGTATGATTTTAAAACATCAATTGTGTGATAGAGAACGTCTCAAACATATAATATTGCACAATATATATCGCAATATTTTGTCTATGATTGTATTTGGAGCTTACGCGGCTAATCAGTAGCTGAAGAAATACTCCGCATGCATGATGTATAAAATATTATTTTCTACCATAATATAATATTTCGAATTTATTTTGTGATTTACATTAAACATAGGGTAATATTTTACCGTGATTTTGTGTAGGTATTTTGTCACCTGCATGTTGAATTCATTATTATACGTAAATCCTTATTATCAATAGGTACTTGAACTAGTAACAAGCCACGATCAAAAGTTGGTTGTAGTAAATACTTATTTGTAAAATATAAAATAGCTTTAATTATTGGGCCACTATATTATGCTGAACAAATTACCTACTTTTCGGCGTATTTCTACAGCTGTGAATAGTACTTTTACAAATCCATCTATGCCTTGAGATACAGTGGTATCACAAATTATGTATTTCTAACTAACGTATCTCCCGCATTTTACCCACACTCGATACCTACTCTAACATAGATTTTGTATGTTGTATGAAATTATAGTGCCGTTATAGCCCCTTCATTAAAAAGCAAATAATTATCAGTCTTATTTCTAGCTTATGAAGAATATAATGCAGATGGAGCAATAAGATCCAACTGTACCTAACTTTTTCGAGCGGAAATATAAGGAACATTTATGTAACGAACATTCAAGAACTCTTCAAATGTGAACCTATTGTCAAAGTAGGAAACTAGTAAATCGCTTGCATTAAAAGCAGCGAGCAATCGCGTGATTGCTATGAAACTTTTGTTCAGTGTTGGTAATGGATATTAGGTACTACGTATATATATATATATCTGACGGCATCTGGAACAACAGCAGGTGCATCACCGTGTCTTACAAATATATGAAAAATAGAATTCACGAATTAAATGTGACATCGAAACATAGAATTACATTGAGATCGATATTTAATTTCAACTTAGCCTATCGTAGTACTACACATATGTATGCTATGTAGGTTTATACCACAGGGTTTAGTTAATACTGACGAGTTGTACAATAAAAAAAACTTTCAGAGATATGATATACATAGCCCGAGAGCTATTCTATGTCTAAATGGGTATTTATGTACTGGAAAGAAAGTTTGCGGTTATAACAATCCTCTAGCAAGCTCATGATTACGATATATTCAAAATCATCGTCGGGCTGGCATCATCCCGAACGTGAAATTAAAAAATGAATGGTTACTTTCCCTCCAAGCTCGAGAAATGCCAACCAAACGATAAGTCACATATAATATTTATTATGTAGAATAACTATGTAACAAAAATAACTTTAGCAAATTTGGCATTTGACACATTAAATACACCTAAAATTACATTCCAATATCTAATGCGAATACAAAATATACTTACCTACACAATGTTATATCGTATCTCTGAATACGCCAACTAGTTGCGAACTTTTGCGAGAGACTAAAGGTCCAAACCGTAGGTACTTTATTTACTAATAATAGGCACTGAAAGATTGAAACATGATCGATAAGTTGAGGATCAACGTACGGTCTTTCCAACTGTGATATTGAAAGACTACAACATTAGCAGAAAATCAAGATACTATCAAATGATGCCTGATATACAGCTGAGGTACAAGGGAGTACAGCTTTTACGTTAAAAACATTCTAGAACCAATTTAATTTAATGTTGTCGCTTATTCCACGATTAATATTCCCCAGGTCTACAAAAGGCATTCTGAAGATGGATTCTTAAACAAGCAACATGAACAAGCTATTTTGTATGGAGTAGTTCACTCCTCGGCTTCCTCTGGGTTTTCAGCTTGCAACAGGTTGGTGTTGTCGTCTTCTTGAAGGTCGGCGGTTAACTTCTGGAACAATGGAAACTGTTTTAGTTTCTGTATGTATTTTAATTTTTATCTATATATAGTCGGTGTTGTGGCGGCACAAAGGGAGAAAGGTATGTAGGTGTCATAAGTGGCATATATGGATATGCCTGGAGGATCTATTGGCCGCCGATAGATTCACGGTATTACCATATTACATATTAGCATCAGTATTTGCACCAGATTAAAGTCTAGTACTGTAATTGCTGAATTTTACTCAAAATATAACATTAACCGTAAATGACGCTGCCACAGTCGAGACAGCTGGCTCTTTCCAGCAGAGTTCAAAACGAGCTGTATTGAAGCTGTAAGTCTAATCGTATATAATAGCCCCGGAATATAAGTAATGGCCATCAGATTCGGAGATCATAGACAAGATTTTTGGTTGTTCAGCGACAGGGTATTGCAAAACTAATCTACGACCGCATGGACAGCAGTGCAATTGTGTAACTAGTGGGAATCGCTGTTGGCTTCGTTTTAATCTTTGACTTTTGGTGTATTATTTTCTAAGTGTACCATTATCGATTATAATCCTATATGAATACTCTAAAAGATTTGAACACTGCGCAGCGACGATTCTAGAAAAATAGTAGGTATTTGTACATACTTTTGTTTGTCTATGCACGTATTCTGGTTTTTTAAATGTAGATAATATGTTACATCGACTTCATGATAAAATTAAGCCGGTACTAAGAAGTGATATAAATAAATTGAACTCGTTGCAAGCTGGTGATCTACGAACCAATTCCATCTATTCATTATATATCCATTACAGCCAATAAAAGTTCACTACTGAAAGCCAATAAGTCTCCCCATGGATTGCCTTGTAGGGGGGATTTTTCCATAGTTGCCACGCTTGGTAGGTGGGTTGGCAATCGCAATTTTGCTGCTACCCATGCTGCCCATTTCTTATTTCAGTTTCCTTCTATCGCCTCTTACGATACCTATGGGAAAATATGCGGCAGTGGATATTCTTACACCGCCACTGCACGGTTATTTGAACCAATAATAGTACCTAATTTATCGGTTGTTATTATAATATGTTCATTGAACTGTGTAGTGGTGGTGTGAGAATATCCACTACCCCATTTCGTACCGAGGGTATCGTAAAAGGCGACTGAGGGAAAATGAAACAAGAGATGGGCAGCAGCATCTTACTGATAACTACGTAAAATAACAAAAAACTGTGATTGTCAACCCGCTTGCCTATAATTTTATGTAACATTCTAAATAAAACATTGAAGTTATAATTTTAAAGGCTCAGAAATCTCTTCGCTTTAAAATGTACAGAATGCCAACTAAGTAGCATAATTAAAAATATTTCGTATACTTAGTAATACAAATCATTAAGTTGACCAAATTTTAAGTACAAATAATAGAAAATTTAATTAGAAAACAGGAGAATCAAATATTCAAAGAAATTAAACTGTACCCCAATTTGCGCTGAAGCGGTAGTTGTCCTCTTCCTGCTTCGCACGGCGATTGCAAGAAGTAGCACCAGAATGATCGATGACATCGCCGCTACCAACAAGGGCAGCAGAAGATTCAGAAAATAACCCTACAAAAAAAGTGATAAATTAGCTTAATAGTCCTGGTGGTATATATGACTCTTTTTTTATGGCATATCAAAAAGGCTATAGGAATGCTTTCGCATACATTCGCAGTGCCATCGCCCGCTGGCGGCCCCTTCTCGGTAGCTTTCCCTCTATTCCGTGGCTATTGCAATCAACTTCAGTTGTGTATCGCCACAACGCAAAATCAGGATTTTGCATTTAGAAAAACCCAAAATCAGGGGCTTTTTAGGTGCTAATTAGGTGCCAAGTTTAAAAATTAGGTGCTCTAAAATTTTCACCGCAACGAACTGTTGAAATTTGCGTTGCTAGCAAAACGTCTCGCTAGCAACGCAATGAAGTTATTGGATGTACGATAAATATTAATAGCAAAGAATTAGGTGTTACAAATATAGGCAATGACAAGGCGCCCCTAATAAAAATAAAGTCGTTATTCAGAACGTAGCAGATGCAAAATTCAGGTTTTCTGAAAATCAAAATAGAATTAAAATTGCATTTAGAAAAAGCCCAAATTAGGGGCTTTTTAGGTGCTAATTAGGTGCCAAGTTTAAAAATTAGGTGCTCTAAAATTTTCACCGCAACGAACTGTTGAAATTTGCGTTGCTAGCAAAACGTCTCGCTAGCAACGCAATGAAGTTATTGGATGTACGATAAATATTAATAGCAAAGAATTAGGTGTTACAAATATAGGCAATGACAAGGCGCCCCTAATAAAAATAAAGTCGTTATTCAGAACGTAGCAGATGCAAAATTCAGGTTTTCTGAAAATCAAAATAGAATTAAAATTGCATTTAGAAAAAGCCCAAATTAGGGGCTTTTTAGGTGCTAATTAGGTGCCAAGTTTAAAAATTTGTTGCTCTAAAATTTTCGCCGCAACGAACGCAACGGCTTCGGTGCTGCGGGGAGTGCAGCCCCCTCGCCCTTGCGTAGCAAATCACAAGCACCCATGCTCACCTCCGCAGCTTCGGCTTAGCTATCGCCGAAGGCGACCAGCCTCAGCCTCTACGGCTCGCACGGATGCCTGCGTTTTGCCACAGCGAGCGGGTGCTGCTCTCCCTCCGCGCCTACGGCTTTACAAGAACACTAGGGTTAGGGCAGTCACGACTACGTGGAGTCGGGGCGTTCTAATTCGGTTTTAGTACAGAATCGATCTATCTTATCTATAATATATGACTGATGAAGAACAAAAAATGCCATTTATACCTTATTCTACATCCGACACCAATAATCTTTCAACACTTAATTAGCACATAATTACTTGCTATTAATATTTTTCGTATATCTAATAACATCATTGCGTTGCTAGCGAGACGTTTTGTCAGCAACGCAAATTTCAATCGTTCGTTGCGGTGAAAATTTTAGAGCACCTAATTTTTAAACTTGGCACATAATTAGCACCTAAATAGCCCCTAATTTTGGACATTTCTAAAATCATTTTTGATTCTATTCTGATTTTCAGAAAACCTGAATTTCGCACCTGCTTTGTTCTGAATAACGACTTTATTTTTATTAGGGGCGCTTTGTCATTGCCTATACTTGCAGCACTTAATTCCTTGCTATTAATATTTATCGTAGGGGAGACCGGGGCCACAATTAACAAAAATTGCATTTTTAGTTGTACCTTCGAAAGTATTTAATATTAAGACTTCATTTTAATGTGACATGATGCTTTAACTATTCAAGTATCATGTTAATAAAATAAATCAAACATAAAATAAGTGATGTCTTAAATGAAACATTATTTCTCAAAAAAGTTAGTTGTTAATTCTTACCCCATCAACGGGGCTAGAGTTAACAGCTCTGAGGTAAGTATTAACATTATGTTATGCCAACTATTCAAGAAATTACTAAAATAATATCAAAGATTAGGAACTAAATTAAGTATAACAAAAGGATATCTATTCGTACTCATCATCCGAACTACAATTAAGGCAATTGAATGATGTGATGTCACTTTTGATACAATACCCTAATTTTGGATTTTTCCAAATGCAAATTCCCGACTTTGCGTTGCAGGAGAGACACTACTATCAACTTCAAGCAACGCTTAGAGTTGAGTGCAGTATTAAAGTTGACAAGTCTCACAACATATGTATGTATATACCTAGCATATAAGTATGTTTATTGTAGTAAGTTAGTCTAATGAAATATATATTTCATTAGACTATATATTCCTATAGTATGAGTAGGTGGTAAATCAACACTTAAAATTGTGATTAAAAATTTCATTGGTTGCTAGCGTAATGTAAATTTATGGCAATCGCTTAATCTCCGAGTTAGCAGGGTTCAATTGAGAATTTTTGAAAATTTTGAGAACCTTTGAAATTTGAGAACCTTTCGATTATCCTTCGATTTGGTTATGGCTCTGGTCCACAAACCGTCGTCGGTCCTTAACGTCAGCTCTGCCATACTTGAATATGATATCGGCGTATTTTCATTCGAGAAAGCTATTAGGTCCAACTTTGAACGTAGGTACTAGTTACTAGATATCAAATCAAATGGTCTAGACATCATCGACGAATTACTTACTAATTTGGAGCGAGCGTGACTAGTCTTGTTAACTCAAGTAAAAGTTACGAAACCATGTGGGAGTAAATAGTATGAGGTAGAAATAAATTTTATTTAAAAATGGAAAAATTATTTGTACCACGTCGTGTACAAAGTTTTTGAATTTTCACCACTAGATAGCGCCTCTGGTGGTGAAAACCCAAAAGTTTTACTGCGCACCTGCGCGCTGCTTCCAACTTTTTGGTTTCTGTAGTTTGTATTCATTGAAGATTTCTCTCCCTTCTTATCTAAATGGTAAGAACACAGTAATTCTGCTAATTGGTGACTAGTTTGTGTGTATAATACCTTAAACGAAAGGACTACTATACACAAGTATGTTTTTAAAAATGTTTAATGTCGTTTAAGGCTTTGTAATAAATTTTTGATCACCTCAAACAAATTACATACCTTTTTCATATTGGAAATATTCGTTAACTTACGTCTAACCCTTTTTATCTGATAAGACAGACACTTGAGACTCTTTATTTTGTGTTTATGCTGTAACATAGACCGGATATCATTTGTTTAAAAAAATAAAAAAAATGTTGCCAAACCGTCTAATAAATCCACACTAATAGGTATTATAAATGTGAAAGTACTTTTTGAAAAAAGGTAGCTTGGGACCAGGACCAGGACAAGCATATATTAGGTCCCATATTTAATTACTATACTCTTTGGATATAAGTTACTCCATTAGCAATAAAAGGTAAAATTTTAAGTTTTTTCAATATATTTTCTATTTGATATTATTGATAATTTTTCTGTAGGTGAGAGAAAACTAAATTACAAAATTCCATTACATTTATATACATACATACATACAGACCAAACTAATGTAAACCGTGTAAAAAATTTGCATGTTATATCAATGACCGCTAAAATTACCCTTTGACGCCTGAAAATATGATGTCTCTATCCATTCGATTAAAGTCATCTATTAATATCAGGAGCAATTATTACTGACATGTAAATAAAAGTAAAATTAGTATTTACCTATACGTCCCACTGCTGGGCACATACCTCTTCTCGCTTCTGAGAGGGTTTAAGAGCAAATACCTACCTTAAGAATGTTATCTAGATCTTTAATCTCTTTGCTTTATAATTAATTAATACTGATGTAGAATTTATTATTATAGAATTAGTAAAAGCGAAAGATGTCAACAATATCTGAATTGTTCTTTCGTATTTTGGGGGCGTAACAAAATCCATTGTTCCATTCTGGTCCCGAATGTGTTGAAAGAGATTAAGAGATTCGTCGAGAAGCTTTTGTTGTTGTCTTGTTTTGTTGTTGGCAGCATAATTAGAATTTGACAGCAAAAGTCAAACTTTGCGAAGTCTGTGGCATCACTGATGGGACTTTCTTTCACTCCAAAGACTTCTTTAAATCACGGTTTGTAATAAGGCCGCTTATATTACGATCAAGCAATATAATAAATTTGAAGAATTTCAATGTCTCAATATTACATGTTCATTTATAGCGTTGTATAGCGTTACTTGCTTAAAAAGCCAATTAGTTTTATCATATTACGATGTAAAAAATTATCAGACATAGGTACATAAAGAGTAAATTCGAATAGTCTGTGCAGAATTATGGTAGTATTAACCGTATATTATCCAAGATAATTTATCTTTTAAATGCGTTTTCGATGTTTTTCATTCCTCCGCTGTTCTTAGTTGAATTGAATATGTACACAGTATATAAATACTACGTTTTGCTGTGTAGTAGTTTCTTTTCTTTGATCTTATCAGCTTTCTACGTAAAGGTTGTCTGGAAGAAATCACTTTCAGAGTGATAGGGCCGTTTGTTGTACTGTCAACTCAATATTATACTTGTTTTGTTCGTTCTTTGTTTATTTAGTACACGATAAACAAGAAATAAATAAATACGTATTACTCAGTTGCTACATACGAGTAGATAATTTAGCCAAGTTGTTAGCCAATTTAAGACTTTTGATATAGGTATTAGAAAGTATACTTGATTGTTGTAATAACTGTCAATTTCAGTTATCCTCGCTAGATTTATTGTAATCGCATAAACCTAGTAGGTATAACATGATTAAAGGCGTTTCCTTGACCAAATAACCTTGAGCATTCGTTCCCTCTATACGTATGCCGCTTTATCATTGAATTCACACAATTTTTGGAATAATGTTAATTAAAAAAGAAAAACGAACTTTAAAAATCAAATAAAACGTGAAGAATATGGATTTTTAAATTATCTATCCATTAGTGTAATCCTCAAATGATTAGAGCGTTGCCTTTAGCAACAGATGCATGTACTCAATAATTTTAGTCATTTTTTAAAAGTGAACAATTTAAATCTATTGTAAAAAAAAAACTAAAAAAATGTATATTTTCGAACAGGACAATAAAACTTTGCTGTAGGAAAAGGTAGGAACAAACACGCAATGCTCCTTCGCAAATATTATGTTAACATTACAATAATAAATCATAAATCATAGATACTTACCGTCCATTGGAAATAGGACAATGTGTCAACGAAAGGCCAGTGTGCTCCGTACCAGCCACTGCCACCTGCCTTTGAGACGGTCACCTCATCAGAATCGCTTATTGGAACCGCCGATTCTGGTTTCAATGGAGGCAGGGAAAATACCTCGTCCACCTCTAATGATTCTTTAAATTCATCATCTTCATCTACTGACAGTAGTGTTGTCGTCGACTCTGTGGTTACTAGGGGCAGCGTTGTAGTCGCTCTAGTTGTAATCAATACGTCATCGAATAACTTCGAATTAATTGTAACTGTTTTATCTGAAGTAACAAGCGGACGGGAATAATATTTGAAAACGTTTCGAATTGTGATTGGCTCAGGGGTGAGTGTTGGTCTTATTATAATGTCCTTCTCCCACGGTTTTACTGACATATAATTATCTAACAAACGTACATTGCCAGATAGTGTGCCAATAAGCGGATTTCGCTCAATAATTTCCGTAGGAATAGGCCGCAGCGTCGTAGAAGGAATAAAACCTTTCCAGGACCTTAAAGCAGGCATATTCCATGGCGGCGTTGTTGCTTTATTAGGGACTATAGTTGATGGCACACTAGTAGAAGTAACAGTTGATCGTGACGTCGTACTATCCAGTTTGGGTTCAGTCGATGATAGTAATTCGGGTAGAATTTTCAGTTCTTTTTTGCGTGATTTTACTATTTGACCAGCTGGAGTAAGAGGTGCGGTAGTAATGACTTCATGATGGTCTTGCAAGCTTCTTTGAGCGTATAAGGCATCGTCAATAACATAAAGTGGAACAGATGCTAAGGCGAGCGCGATTATAATTCCGAACACTATAAGTAGAACATATTTTAGCGTAGATCTTCTTCGGGATCGCCGCACGTGTATTGAAGGGCTGTAATCTCGTCCCTTTCCCTTTAAACCGCTGTTATTTAACACCTCCTCCGTCTGCGGAAGGATAGTGTACTGCAGACTGTTCTCGCCGTGTCTCACCGTCTTGTACATGTTAGCTGCTGCGTTATTAAGAAAAGAAACACAATGTTACGTTATGTTTTCGCGTGTTGTTTTATCACATGCTCGTATTTTCACTAATTTGATATGACACTGTGTAGCAAACGTGTTCGGATGTCACGGTTCATTAATGTTGAGACGGGTCAGTGCGAACCAACGGGGATCTTCGCGCTTTATGCTGCGTTGATGGTCGCTTGGTTGTATTAAGTAAGAGATACGCATGCGTGACAACATTGAGCGGCTGCGCGTTCCCCTTCTGTTTCATCGTGGCTTCTTCACCCGAGCTTTGAGGTTATGAGTTTGATGCCGGTTACAAAAATGTTCGTTGTATAAACACTGTACTTGTATTATCAATAATAACGTGACACGTGAAGGTTTATACCTAAATATTTATTTTAATTTTTACAACGTGATTTTTATTTATATCTGACTAAAATCATTTATGAAGGTAACCTCTTCTCGGTATTCTCTATCTTAATCGGTCCTTTCTCTCTAGACATGAGTCTCTTTTGTAGTAGGCAGGATTCACGCTAATCGTCAAGCTACGCTCCTCGCCTCCTTATTAAATTAGAGTGTTGTGAGGTTAAAATTTCGTGAAAGAAAGCGAACCGAACCTATAACGTACAGATAGTTTATTAGAAATGCTAGATCGAATACGTGTTTGATATTGCTTGCCGTTTGAGATGAATAGTTTCCATATCATAATTTATATTTAAAAATTACACGAAGAATCTATGGTTATGACCAAAAAACAAATGAATAACTGTTTTACAAGTTAAACTATAGTCTAACAATACCGCAATTACATAGGTAAAGACTTTATAATTGGGGTTAAATAATTCAATTCCTTTAAAAAAAATATGTTTATTTTAATTTACGTGGTAGAGCCATGCTGCAGCTATATTAGTAGTATAGTTGTCGCACGAATGGGTCGGCTCGACCGGGGAAGGACCACGCTCTCACAGAATACCATCGTAAAATAGCAGCTTAACTATGCTGTGTTTCGTATGGTGAGTGTAGAGATCCGGAGACCCTTTTTACTGGATAAGAGGCATTCCATCTTAGTCCTCACGAGTGACAACGCATCTGCATTTTGATTCGCTAACGAGGATAGATGTAGATGTCTATGGGCCACAGCAACTACTTACCATCAGGTGGACTGTGTGCTCGTTTGTCACTCGATCCTATAAAAAAAAATTTAATAGAAGTATTAATAGTCATTATCTATACATATCTAAATATCGAGGGAAAATAATGTATGGCTTTGAGATGAACTATAGTGATATGCACACTACGAAGTCTATGGACTATGAAGTTAGAACATTTAGTTCCGCTAAGTCCCGCGAATAATGAGGATGACGTTTGGTTTCTGTTTTAACGAGTCTAGAGAGTTGGCCATCATTGTTTGAAATTGTTCACAATGGTCATCTGCTGTTACTAATTCACCGCAATTCAAAAGGCTATAGTGAATTACACCTTTAAACCGTGGCAAGATAAGAAAGAGAGCGAGCGCTTCCTTATAACCGCCAAGGTCGTCTACGCTACGTCTGACGTAAGGGGTCGTGACGGAAAAGTCTTACATTTTTTCTCGCCTAGCCCCTATCCGCCAAATTCCTACCGTCCGATAAGGAATTCATTCCAAAAACGTGGATGATAATATTTATTAATTTTTTGGCTCTGTATTACCTCGTGTGAAGTTAGTTGTTTCAGATTATTTGAAACTTGAAAGTTGTTGCGGTCGACCTGGCAAATCTACATAATTATCAATAAGTAACATAAAACTTAAATAACACGCATTGAATATGAGCTGTGACGATCCTGATAATTATTTTATTTTATCTTGGTGATCTTGATGATGATGAGCCGTGGTAGCTCAGATGGTTAGCGCTCGCTGTAAGTTTCACAGTACGCGAGCAAACCGGGTTCGATACCCGCCGGCACCAATGAAATTGTTAGTTATTTTAATACGGAAGTTAATTTTCTTTTTCACATCTTCTCCATTAGCTTGGGGGTTTTATTTTTTTCAAAATTACATTTAGTTTCTGCAGTCTCTCCTTTCTGTTTCTGTTATATTTATTCTCATGTTGATTATTCGTTTTATCCCAAAGAATAGGTAAAACTTCTAAAGTGACGGATCCGTGGCGCAGTGGCTTAGCAATGAGTTACAGCGCTGGGGGCCGCGGGTTCGAATACCGCACGGAACAAATATGTGTGGCCTACAAATATTTGTAGGCCATACAAATATTTGTTCCGGGTCGGGATGTTTGTCCTTGTGCAATTTATACTTCTAAACTGCCTCCACGGTACAGGAGAAAATCCTAGTGTGGGGGTAAGGTTTTTAAAAAAAAGTTGGAATAAATTATTTCTCCGGGGCTAATGGTTGAGTAGAGGACGTTAGGGGTGCCGGGGGAGTCGAAGCACGCGGTGACACGTCGTGCGACGACTCCATCGCTGTCTAAGCGGTAACTGACAGTGACATCAGACTAGCTATCAGTCAGTTAAACACACGTTCAGTCTGATATCAGCCTGACCAGACTGACAAAAATTATTAAAATATTTAAATAACCATCATTCTGAACCATCAATCCATCAGTCTACGCGTACACAGTTAGTTTCCCGTCATTCTAATATCAATCATGCATTGAATTGACGCCAGAATAAGCGTGTAACCTCCGTCTTAGTGCTGATTTACCACGTGCTCGGCGGTGAAGGAACACATCGTGAGGAAACCTGCATGTCTGAGAAATAAGAAAAAAATATTTGGAAGATATGTGAAGTTCGCTAACACGCATTGGGGCAGCGCGGCGGACATTTCCTTGCACTGAAACCCTTTCAGAAATGAGAGGAGGCCTCTGCCCAGTAGTGGGACGTATATAGGCTGTAACTTTATCTTGGTGATCTTGATCAGGATACTAGGATAAAGTTATTAAACTGTTGTACTGTCATCCGTCCTTGACATGTGTGCAAATTTTCAAGTCAATCGTCTGTCTGCAATTTGTTGAAAATTACATTAAAATATTCCGTTATATAGGTAGATAGATATATATAACAAATACATAACATGCGAAGCAACTTAAAGCGTGTTAAAAAGCATTTTCTTGCGATAATATTTTGATGTCTCATTTAAAAAAAAATGTTTATAGATGGACTTTACTTCCTTTACGTTTTATGTTGTAAACTGTAGGTTTTATACATTACATTTAAGTAATTATACATTTAGATTTAAGCTTCCATACATTTTTTAATCGATATTACAAGGTAACAATTGTTGAAAATTCTAATCAACATAAAAAATTAATTCGGTTTCAATTTATTAAGGCCCCTTGTAAAATAAAGTTAGTATAATGAACTAATTAACCTACTAGACACTTATTACATAATGTAGTATAAGACTCAGATTAGGTACAGAAAAAAAAGTGTTTTTGTTCTATAATCTTCAGTACAAGCACAGAATACATAATAGTTGGCTTATGAGACAGAAGAGCTTTCGTAGCGTTCCACTATTTTTTCTTTCGTAAAACGTGAAGAATATGAAATGCCAACGTATTTCAATGGTTATATATAAAGGACTTATTCAGTCTTCGAAAAAAAAAATACTCAAATTTACCAAGCCTTTGGATGCCATGGAGTTTTAACCATGGAATTAAATATTTCTCTATCGTACCGTTACCGTACCATTGTACTGTATATTTTCCATCTAAATCTAGATAAGCCAGTTAAATAATGATATTTTCATATCAGAGAACTCATTTTTAAGGTTCCGTACCTCAAAAGGATAAAACGGAACCCTTATAGGATCACTTTGTTGTCCGTCTGTCTATCTGTCTGTCAAGACCCCTTTTCTCAGGAACGCGTAGAGTTATAAAGCTGAAATTCATACCAAATACTCAAGTCTACTGTCCCTTGAAGCTGTGAAAAAATCACTTCTAAGCCAACGCCATCAAAAGATAAAGCCGTTTATGCTGCAAATTTTCGACATTCGCAAGGGAATCAAAACCTACAGGGTACTTCCCGTGAACTCAGAATCTTAAAATTTGGTGCGAAGCAACGTATTATAGCACAGTTAAAGGAAAAATTGCGAAAAGCATAAATTTTTAGTTACATCATATGATATAAGTTTAAAATTACTAAAAATATTTTTATTATATATAAAAATATTTTTAGTAATTTTAAACTTATATACCTACGGATTTGTTCGGAACCCTCGGTGCGCGAGTCCGACTCGCACTTGACCGGTTTTTTTTAAGTACTCATTAGGGTTCCACTGCCATAGACGAAATCATAAACCAATGTAAATAATTATAAACGTATAATTTTATTATCAAGCATATATACACTTTTTACATCAACATTATAAACTAAACTAACATATATCATTGTCAGTACACAATCAATTTAACAAGTAGTGTTTTGGGCGAATTATTTCCCAATTGAACATATACACAAAATAGAACAAGTTATAGAAAATAATATTACTGTATAGTGGCGGTATATTCACTGCCCCATATCGTCCCTAGGGTGTTGTAAAAGACGACAAAGGAAAACATTGCTGGGGATGGAAAACAGTGTTTTCCTAATAACAACAAAACAAACTTCGATTGCCAACCAGCATGCCAAGCGTGGCAACTTTGGTAAATATCCACTGTACGAGACAATATACCGTTGAACTTTTGATAGGCTGTAAGGGTAATAGAAAATTATAAGGTATACCCATTGATATATTGAAATATATTAATGGGTATACCACTATTTAATATAATATATTGTGCTGAAACTCATATGGCAGCATATCACAGAATTCAAAACACTTAAACGTGCCACGTAAATCTTTATACATATAATATAAGGTCGGGGGAAAGGTTTCTTCGTATTTTATATACAAACTAGCTGACCCGTCGAACTTCGTACCGCCTAACAGTCGATTCTTATTTTTAAATACTCTTTCTGCTATTCGGGACACCTGGTCAATTAGTAAGATAAAAAAAGAAAAAAGA